CTCTTTAAATAGTATTAAAATAGAATTAAAACATTAACCTTTTACTATAAATTTGCACGTTATGATGTAAGCTTATTTTGAATTGAGTTGTCTTATTTTCTTGATGGACGAAATAACGCATCTTATTTATCATAGTATATGATATCTTTTTCGATTTCATTTCCGACGAATCCGTTGATCTGGGAAAAGAATAATGGTTAATTTTAAAACCTCTGAACAATTGCCAATTTCCTGGCACATTCATGAAGCTTTGATAAATAACTAAGCGTTTTATAAGCTAAGGTATCAAAAATGCAAAGCAATGTCAAATGTCAAAAATGACATTATTGCATCATTCAAGAATCTTTTGCTCACTGTTTTTTACATATAAAAAATGAACACTTTTATCAGCCTAATGGACAAACTGTTAAATAATTATGATAATATATACGTAGATGGCATTTATTTATCGTTTAACTCCCATGTGTAGCAAAAAAGTCTCCCATTTACCTAATAACAAGTATAATTAATTTTATTGCGTCTTCTATTTCGTTTATGTATGCTACTTAGGGACCTCAGAAAATTTCAGTCGATTATATGTGATAATGTCAGTATTAAACAATCTTGTTATCATTTGATACCATTGATATATTTTGCTTCAACACTGCTGTACATATTTATACCCTTTAAACAAACACATTTCAACCAAATATATATTTTCAAAATGACATATGGAGAAGAATGGAAACTTTGATATACATTCACTGTTAATATTAACTTATCATTTAGTTAACTATGAGTAACTGTTAATGTATATTTAGTACGTATTTAATAAAGCATCCAATGATTAAACTTTAAAAATACACATCAAATATTCATAACCTGTTTTCATAAGCTTAGTCAGATGCACCTTACAGAAGGGATGAAATAATACAAGTTTACTTTTTACTTTCACATGTGCAACAATAAACATTACACTTGGGAAATCAAATAGACATACACTCTAAGGTTTAATCAAATTGTATACTGTTTTAGAAATGTGCTCCACACAGTCAAGTTTAGTTAGTAAAGAATAAGACCACATAACATATGACAGTAGGTATGTAAATAAGAATTTACCTTGCTATAATTTATGATAATGTAAACACAATATAAAATTCATTGTTACATTGTGTCCAATCATACATTTTCTAAAGAGATGTTAATTCCGGATCCGGACTGTGATAACCATTTTCCTGTATCCATTTCTCAAAAAGTTAAAAATCTGGAAACAAAGTGATCCCCTCGGAAGCATTAATTACAACAAAATTACAAGAGAATTGCAGACTCGGTTTGATTGAGTCTGTACATGAGGGATAATGAATACGTGCAACATCCCCGCGCCCCCGGCTCAACACTCAATAGTGCTGGCATCAATGATCCCGAAGGACCAGAAAAATATAAAAACACTGAAGTGAAGTGCGGGGCAACTTTTTACAGATATTCATGAGATATAGTGGGGCGGAAATTGATAAAATAGTGCAAATAGTGATACAAGCATGAAACTTACATGAAATCATCTTTAGACTATGTAGATTGGAACCAAAATATCTCTGCTCATTCAAGATGGCCGCCATTTTCAAAATGGCCGCCATATAAATTTGACGTACATAATAGCCCATTCATTCATTTTTTTGTACAGGCCTGAAACTTACACCAAAGCATTAAATATAATTATAGCATTGCTATAAAGACAGACTCAAATCTTTACGAAAAAAGAAACTAAGAATCAATTTTTATATACATGACTTGATATTTGCTGTAAGACATTCAAATTCATTTTGTTTAAACAAACATTGATATATTTGTTTCAATCTAGTATTACGTTTCAAAACATAGAATATAAAAGACATTAATGCCAGATGATCTTTCGAATTTGCTAGCTTGAGATATTTGCGGGAAATGGAATATGTCAGTAAATGTGTTGTTGGATTTATTTTATTTCTGATATAAAATTACAGTAAAAGGCTATTTTATAGTAAAATATAATAGAAGAACTATGCATCATATAAGGTTATGTCAGATTTCAATAAGATAATGAAGACATCTGTATTTTCAGTTTTGAATTAATTGCATCAAATCGTTAGGTTAAAGTTTTGTATAGAAAAAATGTAACATTTTTGTATATTTCCATTTTCTCTTTGAAACTGTTTCAGTTGTGATGTGCAAAAAATAAATAAGTTTATATATTAAGTTTTCCAGAATCTAATAACAGGATAAAATAAGCTTAATCGGACAACTTATTAATTACCACGTACCAAAGCGGTAGAGACGGGAACAGCAAGGTAGCTTTTCGTTGCCGCTCATGTCTTATTAGTCAATACCTTTGGGAAATTAATTCGAAAGCTTCTCCAACTGCAATACTGTTATATGCTCTAAGCTTGTTTTGTAAGTAGGTATTACTCATGATCCCGTTTTCTATATATCTGTCTATAAAGGAATATTTGAAGATAATTTTGTCAAAAATTTAACCGTTTGGTCACTTATTGGATAACTTAGAAACTTTAAATCTTAGAAAGTCTAATAAATACAAAGAAGTAATATGACAGGCGTAAAGTCAAAGTAAAATTGTTGTCTTTAGAAAAAGAATGCCCTTTATAGATACATGAACTACTACTATCGTTTGCTCTCTTTAATGACGAGTCTTTAATATGATGCTTGTCTTAATACTTAACAGTTTAAGAAATTTCAACATGTTTTTCAAAGTGAGATGGAAAATATTATACAAAGATTATGGTACTAAAAATGTTCGGTAAAATAAATAGATGTTCTTGACAATTTCCTTATATACAGTAATCAATCTTCACTATCTTTTCAAGGGCTGCAAGACATATCTTAATTTTATGTTCTGTAAACGATTCCCTAAAAGATGTTTGGTTTATACAGAATTTATTTTAGTTCGATTGTGTAGGAAGTTATAAGCGTAAAGATACACTTTCGAATCTCTTACTTGAAGCAACCGGTACTGAGCAATTAGTGTAAATGTTTTTGCTCAAGGAATCAATGACTTACCCCTGACGGAGTTTGAACCCATGCGGCTAGCGATCAATACATTACTAGTCAGACGCGTTAACCACTTGGGCATGCCGCCACTTGAATAATTCCTTTTTATGACAACAAACGATCATTATACTAAGTTGAAATGTGAAATATTTTGAAGGGTTTTTATGCTTTAAAAAACAAAACTTTATAGCTTGTAATTTCTCATTTGCTGTTGAATAAAATGCTGCCAAGTTTCGGTATTTGCTGCTATAATCTGATTTGTTTTTTGATCTTTTGATTTATACATTTGAATCTCTTTGTTTTGTTGAAAACTTATCCTTGTATTGAACATTGATATTTCTTTTATGATATTGATAAAATTCTGAAGTTTCAATGTTAACCACAATATATCTGAAATTAGGTTTATTGAACAAAGTCATTATTGCAAGACTGAATCTTTATGTCAGCATCAATTATTTTAATTCCTCACACTTTAATAGCATGGTGTTTTGGTAACTATGTTTGCAATAGGTCTGGCTATTTATTCCTTAAATATTGGATTTTGGAAATGTTTCTAATAGTATGTATAAGTTACTTTCACTGTTGTTCGTTTAATTTAAATAACTTCATACACGTTTGTTAATAAGCAACATATTACTGAAAAGAGGTTCAGTTCCTGAACTGACGTTCGTGTCGTTAAACAATTATTCCAGGAGAGATAGTTCTGTTTTTCTGACATAATTTTCAAATTGATAGAACAGTTAGAGCAAATGTAAAAGAATAAGATTTCCCTGTCAAACGTCCTGCGTCATTTCAGTCTTGTTTGATTCCTTTCTTATTTATACTGTGTATGTAAATAATTTGTAATATAAACGTTCAAAAAAGAACCAATTTTACATGGTTATTAACTTCTGTCATATTGATGGCACTTAATCAAATCATTTGTCGAGAAATAGTAGAAAAAAAGCTGATTCTTCATTTGAGATCTTCAAATAATTTTAAACATGTTTTTGCTAGGGTAAAAGACATTTCTAACAATGCAAATGGATGAACAATTGATGACGTTTAAGTTGTATGTTCCGAATCATTCTCCTTTTTGTTACTGTCATATATTTAAGTGTTTTCTTTTCTTTGTTGTAACAAAAGTTCAAACATGAACACAAATCATTTCTGGATTCATGCTGGAATATTATTTTTATTCTAAAATCAATTTGCAACGAAAACACGCTTCAAATTAATTAAACTTCTTAAATGTACATATATCAGGAAAGGAAAACAACAACAACAACCAACTTGTCAGCAATTTATTGCACATATATTTGTGTTGTTAAGCGAAGCCAACACCAAATCACTAACAAGTATACATTGACCGTACAAGAATCGGATAATTGCATAAGTCAAAGATGAATTCACATGTTCTGCAAAAAGCAATCTAAAAGCATTTACAAACATAGAACCCCGGAAAAATTGACCAGACCGAGAAAAAAAATTTTTGTCTCCTTATAGAGATTTTAAAAAAACAACAGAAAATGCTTTATTTAAGCCAAGTTGTATATCAGAGATTTTGCATATTTTACCTAGATGTACATTCACTTTAGATAAACTACTGTGTCCATACACGAAACATAGCATAACTGTGTCTAAAACAAAGACAAATTTAGTCAAATGATGCCAATATCAAACATTTATGACTATTGTGGGGAACAAATTTCTTTATCATTCATCTGAAATGAACTGACGTTAAATGGAATAATTCTAAATAATGGGGTAAACCTAGGGTCATTATACCTTATTGTCTTTGTTAAGAGTCAGTATGTTCAAACATAGTCATGCAATATTATACAAGAGATTAAATAGAACAGTTTGCCTTTGACTCTCCTGATGCTGTGATGACTTTCTGTTTTACACGCTCATGTCAATAATATTGTTTATAAACAATTCTAAGCTTACTTTTTTTAATAATAATTGTAAAATAAAATTTCTAATTAAAATAACTTAATAGCTATTATTATTTGTGCCTTTTATAAATCTGATTTCGGACTTGTTTCATGGTTGTGTCATGGTCTGGTCGATTCAACATCTGTGGGATGTAAAAAAATGAAACTGCAAAATGAATGTCCTTCCTTACAAATGAGTATTATGAGGAATTATTAATAAACATACATTCATAAACAGGCGTCATGGTGTAACAAATTAAATATAAAATATGATAAACAAAATCATCAAGGAAAGGCTGCGTTCAATGAACGCAAACCCCACATGACCCAGCAACAAGAACCAGTGACAAGAAGCCTAAGCAGACCCAAACAAGAACAGGACAGGACACAAGGCAGAGCACGGACAGGCTAATCACTAAAAAAAATAATTTGTAACTGATACAGAATTCAAAGAAAACAAATAAATGATTGAAAATAGGCAATAATTTGTACATGATAAGAAATTCAAAGAAAACAAATAACTGATTGAAAAACAGGCCCACAAAGTCAAAGGGCACAGGGTAAGAGGACAGGAGACCTGGGGAGGGGGGTTAAATTAAATAAAATAAGACTAAGGGCAAAGGGGAAGATACTTGCCGTAGACGATAAGTATGCATTTTAAAAACCTCATCATCATTACGATTTAGTAAAAATATCAGCCACCAATAACATAACAATAATACTGTAAAATATTTGTATCATATCAGTGTCATGTTTTTAAAATGCTTTTGTAAATCATTACAAAATACACCACTGTGGCCAAAGGAAATAATGCTGACGTCACACTATTACATTTGACAAGCACCTTACTAAAATAGATGAACCAACGGGGAAATCCCTTATTAATACAAATGTTTTCTAAAATACTTTTATACGCTTCATGTTCTTAAAGTACATAGATAAATTCAAATAAAAATAAATTATTCGTCCTCAAAATCAGTTTACGGTTATTATAAATCGTGCAAAATCCTTTGATATGTGTGCCTAAGCAATAAGCCTTACAATGCAAAACAATGGTAAGTGCTTATTAGAGTTGATAGATTTTTATTTTGTGTGTTCTTTGTTCCAAGCCATTAGCGCTCGTTCTTTACAAAACTCTAACTTGTCAAATATTTTGAAAATTGTTTATTGTTCATTTTTTATATGTGTCTATATTTTATTCTCGCCTCATAATTCAAAACTGCGTATCGGGTGGACCAACTTCAGACGTAATACTGTCTGTATCCCCTCTCTCTGTTTCTGGAGGTAAAGTCAGAGGCTGGCCATCTGGGAATTGTTGTGAAAGACGTCTTTCCCTTTCTTGTGAATATTGTTGTGCAAGCTGACGTAGATATGGGGTAGGATCAGACTCAGAATAATAGGTTTGCAATTCTCTGTGTCCCGGTGCAATGCTCAATCTTGGACTACGAAGTCTGTCAAAAGACTGTCGACGACTATACGGGACAGGAATTATATCGAGGACATCTTCATCTAAACCAAACAACGTAGGGCTATGAATTCTTTCTTCCCATCCGTAAACTTGTGTACCGGATAATGAAACCAGGTCATCATCGTACCCACGAGAAGGACTTACAATGCGGTAAAGTGTATCCTTTTCCATAGGACTCACACTTCGACGACGGCGGTATTTGTCGTGGCGATTTAGTGGTGTTTGGTACCCGGATCCTGCCGCGCTTGGCCTTCTTGTTGCTGTAGCAACGCTTGTTCTTCGAGAGTAAGTTGGTGACAGACCTTGAGGTGGACTTCCTACTACAAGTGTATCAAATATTTGATCTTCTTGCTCCTGTGATACAAGTAAGTAATCTTCGTTTTGTGCAATGTTAAGACTGTCTCGTATTGGAACCATGCGATGTCTCTCTTCCCACGCTACTTGTCGCATTTTTTCTTCCAGTCTCTTCTTCTCCAGTTCCTAAAATGACAATTGTTTATGAAATTATATTTAAAAAATAGCAATTTTGCTTTTTTTATTTCATAAAAAACACAGTTTGAGTTAAACTTGCCATCATAACATCGTAAAATTGGATAAATCTTTGCTTAAACATAAAGGAATGTGTTTCTTTGTTCTAAAACATATTTACACAAAAACGTGTATGAAGTGTTTCGTCTAGTATTAAGGGAAGGATCTTCCAACAGACCAGAATTGAATAGAATTTTTTTTACAAAAAAATACATCATAATATCTCGTTGAATTAGTACTTTTCATGTATTTACCTCTTTCTTTTGTTTCTGTACTATGGACGTAACGTGATAGAGTAAGTCATCAATCTTGACTTCTGTAGAATCTTGGCCCATGGCAGCAAGGGACAGAGCACGGTCTAATGGGAAAAAGTCATAATTTTCCTTCTGGAGCTGGAAAAAGAATATTTCAAATAAGTGAATTATAAAAACAGGATTTTTATCTCTACAAATGATACTATGATCAAATATGTACCAGTTTCTGTAAGAAAGCATGATGTGAAATACTTTAACTTATGTTCCGCTATTTCTCTGGATAAATCCTTAATAAGCTTTAATAAAGGGAAAACAAATTCAAGGATTTTTTGTTTTCTTCCATTTCAAAATCATAAAGCTACGGTGTTTGACTACAAGTAGCATAAAGGTCCACCATGAAATAGGACTGAAATAATAAAGGGGTATGATGCATGTTTATTTCTAGATATGATAAAAAACTAGACAATATCGCAAGCTGCACTATATATTTTATCTAATTCTTTAAGCTTGTTTTGATAATTATCTCTGTTTAAATTATTTTACATCCATCTTGCTCTGATTCTGTGAGAACATTTTGCCTGTTTTTCGTGTTAAATGAGCAGAATCTTTAGCAAACAAATGTAAAGGAATTAAGTCGTAAAATGTTAGAAAGAAAATATTCCCAAGTGAAGAGTTTATTCACTCACATGTTTAAAGACGTACATCTCTAGAGCAGTGTAATCGTTGAGTTTCGTCCCATCCAAATGAATAAAGAAGAAAATGTACGCCCACATATTATGTTCATGACGAACATGTTGTTCAAAGCCCTAAGTACAGAAAATTATACTTCTTTTAGCATTACTAAATAACACAGCTCAAGTAGAATCTTTGTCAAACAAGGTACTTAGTATTCTTTTATTCTTTTTTGGTTTAAGCATCAAGTACCGGTATATTATTACAAATAGCAACATGCAGTTTAAAGGGATTTCCTCAACCTTAAAACATGTTTAACATGCACATATTACAATCTATTAAACTAAATTGCTTTAACAAACCACATATTTTTGCAAAAATATCCTCTAGGGATTGCATGCAACTGTCACATTTAGATGATTCTCCACAAACTAATTCGCCTATCTCTTCTGCCAATTTGTTTAAATACATCACATATCATGCCTTTATGTAATGTAATGGCTTTTTGCATTAACTGAATAAGAATTTGTAGCATGCAATCAATCAATTAGGATAATCTTGTCATTTAGCTAGTCACGTGATCTTATAGATTTATCAAGAAACGCAATTAAACTACTTGTAAATTCAATGTAATCGGTTTAACTTTTTTGTATTTAATATCATCCAATGTATGACTATAATGATTAATAAAAGAAATATTCTTAAAGAATGCACTTGCAAATGTCTTCTATAATTGCACTATATGTAGATCTATATATTTTTCAATATAATCATGTGATAGTACGAACGCGGCGGAAATATTGCTCAAACTGACTTCATAACTAAACATCTGGATATTAAAGAGTGTTTCAGGAAAACCAGCATCTCTATGGCGACTACTTGAATAAGTTAACAAATTGTTGAAATATGTTTACATGCAGAACCACCTAATTCACTTCAAGACGTTCTCAATTTTATACATTTCTTTAACATTCATTAAAATTGACTGACTTACGTTGCCATGATGTTCAAAATCATAACTGTTCCTGCTACAAATAAAACAGGTGTCCCTCATATCAGATTCTGCCGTCCACTACAAAACATATTACAATAATGATGAACATACATATTCTTGTAAAAGTACAAAATAATATTATAATACTTTATTTGTACATATGATACAAATGTACTGTCTGTAGTATATTACAGTGTCATGAACTGGTGTGGTGAAACAAAATTATCTATCCTTCAAAGGTTTTTGATTATGGTATGAAAATATTACAAGACAAACTGCCTAAAAGTCAGTATTTTGGTATGTGCTTCGCTAACGCTACAAATTTGCTTAACGTTGTAAACGTTGGTTATATCAAACTGTTAAATGTCATTACATTTAGTACAGTCAAAAAATGCTAAATGCACAAAAGAATACCTTTAAATCTCTAAGTTCGGAGAATGTGTCCACAATAATACCAAAGATGATATTCAATCCAATAGTTGTGATAAATATGAAAAAGGACACGTGGTACAAAACGACGAATCCGAACATTCGGAAATTCTTTTCTGTCTTGTGAGCTTTGATGTTCTAAAATATAATAAAATGCTTAATGTAAACAGTGCAGCAATACTGTGTTGCATTAACCCAAAATCTACATGATATATATTTTATTGTTTATTTATTTATTTATTTGTTAAATACAAATATTAAATTTTTACATGAATTATATATTAAATAGATTTTTTGCAAAATAATATATACATTAATTATAATAATTATTATTCTTATAAATAAAACATTCTGACATATTGATGCATAATTTCATTTTCCGTATTTTCACTGTAAAAATTCATTTTTCACTGCAGTGAAGCATATTTTCCGTATTGTCACTGGTGTCTTTTATTTATTCTTTATTCTGAATTCAGCAAATACATAAATTAAATTAAAAGAGAAGTCTCTCTATATATAAGGTCCGAAATGAGTAAAATTAGATAATTAACAGAATAGAATATTCAAGTTTTTTTCTATAAAAACAGGATTAATTCTTGAGAGTATGAAAATAAATATTTCACGAGTGGCGTAAAAAATAATTAAATATCCTCTATATGTTTCGTTGTTTTGAGTGGTATGAAAATAAATATATGAACATTAGAACGTGACAATCATGAAAATAACTTAAAAAATTAAAAGCATATAGGATAGTTTTGCTCATAGGATACTGATAAACGAGTACAGTATAAGTTTTATACAAAAACTTAGTCAGCAAGAAAAATAAAGTGCTCCGAAAAAAAGGATTAATCCAGTTAATGTTCTATATAATGTATAACTAGAAGGGAAAAATAAGATGTGAATAATTAGATAAATTTATTCAGTGATAGTAAAGAGGCTGGCGTGACGGAACACATAATATCACATTTGAGTGTATAATAACATAAAATGATTGTACCAAAATACAGTGTAATAGCATTATAGGAGGACTTCCTTCGTGATTTTAATAAATTGGACGAGTCATTAATTGGTAGACTATGAACACAAGGGAACTATCCCGTAGCATGTGTTTAACAGTTAAAAGCTCTTATAAACAAGTACTTACATCAAACAGGTCACCAATTAAACCGTATCGGATAATTGTCAATGTACACTGCCATAGTGTGTCACAGTAAAGATAATCGTTTGGATCAAACATGCTTCTCATCAAAGCAAAGCTAATTATGGCGTAGAGATAAAACACGCACAATCCTAGTATACCAACCCACACCAACGATCGGCCTGAAAATAATCGGAATAATCTTTCTGTTAGGCACAATATCTTTTGAGGAAACAACTTTGTTAACATCAACTAAATCTGTTTTACATTAGGCTGCAAAAAAACTTTCCAGTAGCAAAAAACTCTAGAGCATTTCGAATTACAAATACGATTATATTAATTTTAAAAGCATTGGAACAATTTAAAAATCATAAAAATAGCACCATTTCCTTTTATATAATATTAGAAATAATTTAAACATATGTTGAAATTCAACTATTAAAGTAACAGTGAAAGTTCAATTGCAAATTTAATTTATGTTAAAAATCTACCTCCTGAAGTGCTAAAATGATATGTACAAGCCAAAATATGGGTAAAACTGCAAGAGTTGATTCAGTTTGGCGAAAAACAACCGCATTAAAGTTTATGACTTTTATTTTCAACATCCGTCGAATTTTGCACTTTATTAATCATTGAATATAAAGGTAAACATTATTCAAAGAAATACCGTTCTGTGTAACCGCTTTGATTACACCACTAAGAAGCTGGTTCCCGTTTACAATGTTTAGAAGATGATATGCGAAGAAATATCCATGAAACATTGTACCACCAATTGAAAGGGCAAAAAAGCTCTGCATAAAAAAAACAAAAAGGCTTATTAAAGAAGTTACAAGTATCAAAAAATTACATTCATTCAATTCAAATTAAGTTTGTTCCATGTATCATGTGTATATTTAGTACAAATTAAAACGAGACATTACAACGAATAAAAGTTTCATCACAAATAATTCAAAGAACTAAACAGGTTTTTCGCACATTATAATAAATGATACATTGATTATTTTGAATTTGAAGAATAAAATAAATAAAACAAGTTAAAAGCAAAATAACTGTTTTAAAAACAGTGAATGAATTTATATTCATTTGTTACCTTACTGGTGTTAAAGCCACGTTTTTAATAATAATTTTATGTCATTTTGCTATTTAAGAGACATTATGCCCATCAAAGAGTAAATGGCGAGTGTTGAGCTTGAATTAAAGTAACTTAACATTTTGTCATATTTCTTGTTTTCAATTTTATGATAAACATCACCTGAGTAATCAATGACCCCCGTGACTCACATAGATATCTATAAATATCCTTCAGAAATGATTGGTTAAAAAGAGTGGAGTAGTCCTTTTGGTTTTAGACAACTTATATACACTTGCTTTACGATGTATCTTTAGAGTTCAAGCGTCAACATGATCAGTTTAAACCACTTCTGGCTAATTAATCTAAGCAGCTATGGTGCGAGAACGATTAATTTGTCAGCGTAATTAGGATGTGATAAACAAGTAAATAGCATGTAAAATTGTTTGTTGTGCATCACAATTTATACCAAGTATGGTAAAAATTGCTAATTACACCAAATTATCAGTTCATGTGTGCTTTATTTCGATATGTAATTAATGTATAAATCATAATGAGAGTCATACTATATTAATACCTCATATTTTTCTTCTTAAGTGGAAGTCGTAAATTAATGTTTTCATCATATTAATGATGTACAGTATAATAATTATTATCATGCATTAAAAATGTTTTTTGTTTAAAAAAATGTGTTTCTTTTTACTCATTTAATTAAGTACATTTACCATGTGCATAAAACTATAAAAGGTATACATTAAGTTAAGTTGGACTTCGTCAGCTGTTAAAGTGACTTATTCACTTTTAAGACCAGTTCACTATTAAGACCACTTTGAGTCAGACCCGTTAGTGGTCTTAACAGAGAGAATTTACTGTATTATATGCTTTATCAATTATTGTTTAATCATCATTAAGATAATCTTTTAAAATATACAACTCACTAAACTTAAGTTGAAACAAATGAGCATAATGTCACTTAAATTAGAAAAAAATTCATATGGACTTTATTTTAAATCAACCTACGATGTAATAAAATGTTGTAAAACTAAGTAGTGTTGCATCCATCTTGGCTACGTGCTCTTTAGTTTTATCTTCATCAAGGTCTTCTTCCTCCCTTTTCTTGGCGAATAAACATTCCCTATAACAATGTAATGAGTAAGTAAGTAAGTCATCAAAATTATTTAAGGGTTTATCAAAAGAATTTTGCGTTAAAAACTTTTTAAGCGTTTCTTAACCAATCACATCGACTTCCTCCGTAAACAAGTTCATAAAAATGCACAAAAGAGATTTTCTAGTTAGGCTGTCTTGAATGAGCAAAGGGTCGTGAAAATGTTTAGTTTCTTACTTGATTTCAAGAAATGCTGCTTTGGGATCTGGCAGTCGTGGGTGATTACCAACAAAGTAGCTTATAAGGACCAGGAAACAGAATGTATTGTGTAATCCCCCGAGTACAAAAAGGGCCAGTGCGTATTGATCTGCAGTAAGGTTGCTAATTTCGGGAATAGGACTGAAATTATAAAGGGGTATGATGCATGTTTATTTCTAAAATACAGATTTTAGGTTTTTATTATTTCACAGAAGAAAATTTAACATATCAAATTACATGGATTTAAATGTCGTCTCAGTTATGTAACTGCATAATAAATGATTTTTTTTAATTTGTACAATTTTACTTCTGAAATTAGTGACAGCAATTAATAACTAATATTTCAACAATTAAGAAAATGTTCAGGATAAATTAATGAAGGAAGACTTACTCTTTTACTTCTAGTGGAATAGCTGTACTGTTCTTATATATTCCTGATGTGTTTAAAGATGCTTTTGCGTTCCATGTCATTAACATCAGGATGTTTATGGCAAAGGATAGAATTGTAACAGAATTGTTCCAAACCAACCTTAAGAACAAAAGTAAGCGATATACTCGTATGTCAATGAAAATTTCTGATAAAGTTTCTGACTTTTTCTAATTTTGAAAGAACTTGTTACCCAACTCATTAAAAGCTTTTGTTGTATACGTTTTCTTCATCTGAAGCAAATCACCTATAAGTACGATCTCAAATTGTTTGGCAATTTATATTTACAACAAAAAGAAATAATTTTGTTTGGTATCTTTCTGTTTAGAGAGTTGTGTGATCAATACGCTAAACAGACACACTTACCATCCCTTTGTTAGCACGACAGCTACAGGGTTGTTAAGAATCTTTCTTTGGTAAGCAATATCTTTCATGATATCTACAGACCATGCCATCAAGTCTCGAATTTTGTTGCTAGGCGATGACCTATCAACGCTCCATTTCAGCATCTCTTTCACTTCCTCTCGAAGAACCCGCTATAAAATAATGGTTTATGTGACAAAGCGTCTGAATTATTTATTTGTTACATACGTTTCATGGTGAGTTGTTTTCAATCATAATATACCTATTTTTTATATTTCGATTGTTTTGACTTAGAAAGAGAAAGTAAATCTAATCAAACAATTGAACAAACATTAATAAATAAATAACGTATCATTTTACTTGTCTTGAAACATAAAGGTTTTAAAATCCTTTTTAATGCTGTAAATTTTGTTAAAAATATCAAACTGAGAAATTTAAATATAATAGCAATAAAAACTTTAAGACAACAAAAAATGAATAAACGAGAAGAAGGAAGCACTTCCTATTAAAAATTGTTTTACAAATAAGGCAAAATAAATGAAATCTTAGCAAATATTGTAAATTTGTAAATGTAAATGAAAATTGTGTTTTCGGGAGAAATTTTGTGACTTTTATTTGATACGAACAGAAAAAGGTTTAAAAAGAGAAGAAAGAAAATGACAATGTCCATATCGCAAGTAAAAAATGACAAGAAGAACGAAATATGAGAAAAATAGAAAATACGAAGCGAATCTTTTAGTTTTCAAACCAACTAGAATTGGGTATTTAGATGCATACATGTTTATTTATAGATTAAACACATAGGTAAAGTAATAGTCAGATTATATTAAAGTAGTACATGGTGCATTATATAGAAGAAAAAGATGTACACGTTCTGATGATAAAATATTTTGAATGAGGTCAATATCAATAACATATCTTTAATACATTAAAATAACTTTTAAGTAAACTTTCAAAAGTAAAAAAAGCGTTTGAACTTGCTTTACTTAAGAAGTAGTGGTAATTTTAAGATCAATTTATGAAAGCGGCAAACAAACATACATTCTTAAATCAGACAATTTAGTGAAGATAAAAAAAATACCTCTAACAAGCCAATTCAATTCTAAAATAAATTTACACAAGCAAATTAAAAAATACAGGATCGATATGCAATTTAATGTACATATTTGGGTTGTCTCTGCTCTTCTAAGAAATAAATAAAAGTTGCAAAAAGTGAAATTATATCTTAAGTGGTTTCGGCAAATAAAAGAAACCCATTTCAAAAATATTCTCAATTAAAAGCTTCTCCTAGCAACGAAATAGGGTCTGATTATGCAATTCTACAGGTTTGTTAGCGTCACGTGTCCTTAACTATATCATAAGCACTAGTTAGGTTAATGTGTAACTTTCAAACACTTCTACGTAGGGCAATATACTATTTCTATTAATATCAACTATAGCAAAGGGTTGGGGCAACTATCAATAGACCTGTATAGCCGGATGTCCCTGTAAATTATTTGCAAAGAATCTTATTTCTCACCGGTTGTTTATAATTGATTTTACATTAAGTATGAATCCGCTGATGAATTAAAAATGATGATATTACATAGATGTCTGTCGAACTGACTTCGACATTCAAGCGGTAATAGTACTTGATGCTGATGTTTATGATAAATTTGAAATATATTTGCGATCTACACTGAAGTATTGTTATGAAAATGGTTTAAGGTTAGGCAAATATCAATTAATAAGTCAGTAAATTTAATCTGTAAACTTTGATAGTTCAAAGTTTGCTTCCATTCGTTTTAAGCAAATGCGAATATGTGTATTTCATTTTGTGGTAAGCTTACCGGATGTAATATACGATTAATAATAAAGGAATTTTATGAGCCGACAAAATGTCATCAATAAACGTGTATATAAATTACAAATCAATTCTTATAAAATATGAACTATTTTTAATTTAGGTATAGGATTTTCACTTTCTTATTTTTTTCTTTTCTGTCGATGCATTGAATATGACTTAAGTATATGTAAACGTCCAAAACACGTTGTATCAAACATTGCCATACCGTTGTCTTGACGCGGAAATTGGCCTTTTGTAATTCGTCATCTTTTACTATCTCAATGGACTGGCAATTTTTCTTGTAAAAATTGTAAGCCTTCAATTGCAACGGCGTCATCCGAACTGAAACGTAAATAAATCGAACTATGTCTATTTTGAGAAAAATAAACGGAAGTACATATTTATAGAAACATTCAAACCAATCATTTTTGGCTGAAAGTAATAGTTGAATTAGTATCACAGTAGTAGAACTATATTCATTTGGTGTATTTTTTATTCAGACATAATCTAAAGAGTTTACATAATGAACTAAATTCTTTACTCCTAAAATTCTATATTTTACGTCAAAATTGCAGAGTTGATATTGACGTTTATGACAAGAAGTTTAATGTTAGAGATCAATAATTAAGTTAAGATAGGGAACAATTAGTTTGTTAAATGTAGGCATCCATACGTGATTCTAAAAGTTGAACATCTATGTCTACCATTCTAGCAAGTATTAGATACAAACGATAGCCAACGTCTTCGTATTCTTCAGCAAACTCGTCATTGTCTTTATTCTACAAATCAAATATGAAAACTGTTGAAATCGTTTCAAACATTTCCATAAAGGAAGTTTTTTTACGATGAAATATTAGACAGTGATAAAAATCGATGCACTGTTTTCTGTATGCTTTTATCGCACTATCATAAAAAGTATAGATATGAAATTCATTTAGATGTACAAGTACTTAACCAGAAAATTTTTAACCAGACGAGTGTAATTCTTCACCATTTTTTACATCTTTTATTAAAGAAAATAGTTTAGACTTGATATTAATATAAATTACCCCAATTGATCTCAGAATTTTCTCTTTGAATAAAGCAATTTTGCTCTTTTTCTGCTGAGGCACATGACCTTCCTGTTCAATATACTTCATTTCTGCAAGTTTCTTCTTGTCTATCCCATGATGTTCAAAGCTTTCAGTCATCAATTTCACAACGGCTTTTTTATCAAGAGAATCTTTTACTTCCTATATAAAGAAAAAATACATAAAGGCTAAGACGTAAAGCTACATGTCTCAAGATGAGCCAAAACATCTCAGGAAAATCAAACTTGAGAAAACTGTATTGAATTTTTAAGAAATGTTAAAGGATTCAAGATAATAGTAATACTTTCTATGTTATGTGCTATTAATGACCGTTTTGCAGTATTTTTCACCATATTTTCAAGAGCTATTTTTTATTTATTTATTTTTTGCAATTTATTTGGGCTGTAAGTGTCGTTTGCAATGTGTTATTTATTTCCTTTGTTGACTTTACGATAATTTACTTTTAAATGCTCTTCAGAATTTTTCCTACAATCAGCCGGTATCTGGTGGCATTCTGCTTTAAAAAAAGTAATTTATAAAAAAAATGCACACAAGAAGCATATGTCTATTTCTAGAATTAAGTTCGCCAATTAAAGACATAATTTTAATTCTGATTGCAATTTATTTTTTCTTGTCTTAACCTTGCGTGATCATCAATGACTATGTTTTATTTAAAGATTTGTGGTATAAATTGTTCTATTTCCTGTTTGTATGATATCTCTTAAACAAAGAGTGTTGGTCTTAATTGCTGGGTTGAATTTCCGAAATGTGAAATGTGTTTTCTTCATATTGGTTAACAATTGTAAAGATAAAGAAAACTAAATTCGTATCAGAAACCTTTAAATACAATTGTTTTTACAGTGCCGATTCAATAAATATATAATCAAAAAATATTGCAGGAAAAAGTAAACGCCTATTCGCTAACTATTCTTTAATCAATTAATAAAATAATTTCGTTCCCATTTCACATCTTATTATGCACCAATTAATAAATCTAGAAAAGCCTGTGTTGTTGTTTTTTGGGGGTTTTTTTGTTTGTTTTTTTAAATGGAACCTTTTGACCATCAATCTGATTTTGATTTAGAGAAAGAATTATACATATTATCTAATTCTTTTCCTGTCTCGCACACAGCTGACACCTCGACTTAATAGATTCCTATACTGGATCATTTGAATCACACATAAGCATTTGGTTATACGCAAATATTGCAATAAAATACATTAAAACAAAATATATCACAACCAAGCTATTTTGTTTGCAGATTCTATCAATCAGAAGAAGTGATATGTTGTTATGAATATTAAAATTTTACCATTGCTACTTGCGTTTTACCAGCACCATTTTCCTCAACTAATGCTAGAACTAAGTTCGAGATACTCTCTCTCAGTGACAGGATCTGAATAGAAAAAAAACGTTTGATATATTAATACAAAAAAAATATGTTTACATATACTAAAGGTTTTGTTAATTTTCGTGTCTTTTTCTTTTTCATTTGTAGTGGTATCTAATTTAACTAAACATTTACAACTTTTTTTTTCATGAAATATATACATGTATTTATTTACTCTTAATATAAACTGTTATTTTTCAGAAATTACAGATCATTATTGATTCTTGTTTATATCTTATGATATACAAGTATATCTTATAACAACTAAAACTCAATAAAAATGGATACTATAAATCAAAAAATCCGGAAAAAACCTCGGAAGCACTAATCACAACAAAACAAAACAACATGAGAATTGTAGACACGGTTCTATTGAGTCTGTACATGAGAGGTAATACGATGCAACATCCCTCACAAATACCTTATCTATTGGACAATCTCCGATTTCACCAGCTCGTAAAATAAAGTTGATGTAGTCAATGATTTTGTTGTCATATATCACAATGCGATTTTCCTGGTTTCCCTTTAAAATAAAAAAAAATCCTGTTTTCTTTTCAGCAAGTATCCGATATTTTTTATGCATTAGAATACTTAAAAACGAAAACATGGTACAAGCAATGTTCAGTGAAGGCTACCTACAAACTCATTCAAACATTAAATGTCTCTTTATATGCACACAGAAAACTAAGAATGCTTACTTTTGTTTAATAAAAAATTATATTGCACTTTATATATCAATGGGAATACATTTCTTAACTTTCTTCTTTGTTATTTATACAAAAAACACATAATTTACTCGCATAAAATGCAGGGAAAATAGCTGAATGACTTTTTGGTTGCATATAACCGGCCGCCAAGTCTTAAATATTTCCGTATTGTGCCCCGTTTTTTTTGTTCGATATCCGGTGGTCTTATTTGGTTTGCGGTTTGCTTGGCTTATTTCAGTGAACATCGTTCACACCTAATAGTCTTTGTACTGATATCTATTCCAATTAATCAGATCAATTCTTGTAGCAGAAGGCATTGCTATTCATATCTCCCTTTAGCAGTTTTACAAATCTGTTTCCAAATTAATACAGTGGGGAATTTATGAGACCTAACTATATTACTGTGCTTTATCAACTTAAAATTTGATCATTAGTCCAACCATAACTGTTGAAATTACGGGATAATTTTTGTATGTATTTGTTTTTAAAAAATATTTTACACAGTAATCCAGATGTACATGCAACACTGACGCGTATAAATTATATCTATGATGGGGTTAAGCTAAAAGACATTCATCTTGTGATAACTGATAAATATAAAGCAAAACTTAATTGCACAAATGAATCAAATAAAGTTCCAAATAAAATTCAAATACTACTTACCCTCATGCTAAGTGAAATCAGTCAAACCCTTTGTAATCATGATGAAGATTTAAATAACTTAGATCTGACCATTTAATGAGGTATCAAGTTAAAAAAAAACACACGTACCTGTTTGCTACTTTCAATACAGTGCACCACATGTAGAGGAATGACCAAAAACGATATTTGTAATTGATTATAATATTAATTCAGTCTCTAATTTAAAAAACTATAAAGTATATATCAAACAGGTTTTAAATAGTTATATATTTTCCTATCCCAAAGTTTCCAGATTTGCAAAAGTACAAGTTAAGATTGTGATAATGAAGGTATTTATGCACTCAAATATTTTAAAAAGTTTTTATCTAAAGATATACCCAATGTCATTTCACTACAGTATTGATTATGGTGTAAAAATCTTGAACAAGGGATATCATCAGTTTTTATTGAGTCTGTTCGAGGGAGAGATAATGACAAGTTCAACATCTCTGATGCACCTAGCACCGGGTAAAACCGTATGAAACAATTAAGTATTGGAATTATTGATCCCTTAATCTATAGTTTCCTTTTGAGTTATATTAAACATAAAGGAAGTGTATTTATTATAATCTGAATGTTGAACAATGGACATAATGAGCGTGTGACAACTTTGATGAATGTCAAGCAAACTTGTGTTGTGAAAATAACGCATGTTTGCATCTTTGTGACTGTGAGTTCAATACTTCGACACGTGGACGGGATAGAGTGGTTGTGTCGATTTTGAATTTAATTGTGCAAATGTGAAATATATATTGTTTATCTTTGTTCTTTACATACCGCGGTAAACTCAGTCATCGTGTCAAACAGTTGGCCTACTAAGTCAATAGTGCCAGCCGTAATGTTTGAATAAATCACATTTAGAAATTGTGTCACTTCCCCTATTATGTTGAACGACTTGACATTATCTGGTTGCTCCCTAAGATAATCCTGTATTAAAATGTATGTAAATATGATTAATATTTTTTATTGTTTACTTACCATAATGCCAGTACAATGTTGTTATGCGTTTGTTCTAAGCTTAATGTTTTTATGTTTTTGATAAAAGTAATGTTTAACTTAAGTTTTAACCTAATTATCTTATCAATTAGTGGTCCATCTTTTAAACTGGACAAAAAAAAGCCTTTTTCCTTTAACAAAAATATTAACTAACTAAAACGGGAACAGTACAGGCTATGATCAGAACGTATGTGTCGGTTGATCTTAATCTGCACTAGACACTTGGGTAAATTCTGTTGAAGCTAGCAGGCTATAGGTTAGAAAAGCTTGACCAGACGAGAAAAGGTGATCAAAACATTTAAACGGCTTAACGGTTTAAATTTCCGGAAAAGACTACTTTAGATTTAATGTCGCTTATAAACCGGGCGATAAAGTTCGACCGCCACATATATTGAAAATTGTTTCGATTCCTTGCAATTAAACTTTAAGCTTAGACGACATGCCAAACAACAAGACTGACTTTAACGCCTCGAACCTCTGTAATACCTAAAACGGCATTTGAATCGCTTTTGCTCTTTGTCAAGTTAGGCTTTAGCTTATCCGATTAAAACTTACGGCGGTGAATTCAGTCATTGTATCGAACAGCTGGCATACCAGGTCGATTGATCGAGCATTAATGTTTGAATACATCACATTTAGAAAATGCGTGACTTCGCTAACAATGTTGAATGACTTCACATTATCAGGTTGATCTCGGAGGTAATCCTGCATATATACGGCAAAATTACAAACAGAACTACTATCGTCAAGTTGTAATGGTACTAATTTAGATATATTCAAATATGTATCTTTTTTAACTATTTGGTTAATAGTTAAAGGAACACCACTGAGGTCCAAATGATCATTTAAAATGTCAATTTCTTATATATATCAGCTGGGGCACTTAAAACAGAAATATATTAAAGATAGTGAAGAAATACACTCATACATAAATTAAGAATAAGTGAAACGCTTTTCAATTGTTGGTCTTTTTTTCACAATTAAAATAACTACTCTGGAAAATACGGAGTGAGCGAATGACCTGATCGTTTAGACTAAAGTTATGGTTAAATGGTCAAACCTACATCAAATGAAACATTAATTTCGAAAAATTATTTCAAGTCCCGTTGTTTTAAAAAACTTCAGTGGAGTCCATTTAATTCAAAAAGACAAAGTGACGCGTTATTTGTGACCATGTGGCTATGCCGCGAATAGTCAAAATGTCCGTGTAAAACTTTGCTATGTTTTTCTTATCTAAGACATGCTCTCTATAACAATTTTTCCCAACTGAATATATTTTAATATATTTTCTTCTGTGTGACGACCGAAAAAACATGAGAACCCATTGCTCAAGAATTGGCTTATATACTCAGTTACATCTTATATGGAAAATGTTTTTTCTACCTTCAATTATTGCAATCGGATTGATAATCTCTACTAGAACATTAACAAATGTTTCTATTTCGTAGAATTATGTTACTATTACATACGCTCGTGCGGTTGTACGTTGACGTGTTATTTACGCGAGTTTATTATTTTCGATGAAAGATGTATCTAAAAGTTCTTGTTTAAACTATGCTAACAATTAATTTCAATTTATAATATTTATACATAGAGTTTAACACTTCTTATTACTTTCGTTATTAAAATATATATGTAACATAATTGACATAAATTACTTTTTTATTCAGACAGTCATGTAAATGCACCGGTTTGTAATTAATTATCTAATCATTAATTTTGTTTAACTTATCACTATACATGTTAACATACCTGTAATGTATGATTTTGTCCATCACACATGCGGGCCATAACTTTCAGTGCCAGTTCGATATAACCAATCATTTCCTGACATCATAGCTGTTTCACCTTCCTCGTCCTCAGAGGACTTTTCTTCCTTATCCTTTTCTTTCAACTGTATGGAATATAATGATAGATAAAAAATCTGGAAGAAGGGTGATCATTTGGAAGCATTAATCACAACGAGCTTACATGAAAATTGCAGGCTCGGTTTGAGTGAGTCTGTACCTGAGGGATGATGAATAAATGGCATTTCATGTCAAATAGATCATGTATACAAGCACTGGTTTCAGGCTGACAGATGTTTCTTCATTTCAAATTTACTTTAAAAATTTTACATTTACTTTAAAATGATTACAAAAACATTGAATAAATAGGTATTTTAGAAATTGTCTAAATAGAATTAATAATTGATCTTAATAACTATATTGATAAAAGCCAAACATTGCTGAGTGTCCATAATCAGATAAGTAAATTATTTTTGAAATTAAAAATGCACTAAATTAATAAATCATATGCACGTTATAATCTCGATGATATCTAAACAAGTCATATTTTATGAAAATAATATACTTCTTCGGCGTTTTCAACATCTTCATCAGGATTTGGATCTTCAATTTCGTCAGGTATCTCCACTTTAACTTCAGCCACTTCATTGTCTTCAAATGCGTCGTTGATTAAAGCTAGATCATCTTTTGTTGTGCTTGCAACTTCTGCCCCATCTGCATGAGTCGGTTTCTTTTTACCTTTGTTGTCAGTCTTTGGAGCTTTTGTCTGTTTCTTTTTATCTTTTTCAGCTTCTTTTGCTTTATTAATCTTTTCCTTCTTGTCTTTAGACTCTCCGTTTTTGTGCCCATTCTTTGGAGCATGTCGCTTTGGTTTCTTAGCAAAAGTAAAATTTATTGAAAATGTAGTTTCTTTTTATTTAAGAAAGACATAAAAAAATGACATATATAACACATTTTAATTTGCAATAAAAAATAATATACACTGTATTTATATTGTAAAACATATTTAACATATATGAACTAAAATTGTTTATGTCATCCATGTAAAAACTTAAAATTGATTTGATTGATCAGCTTTAAAGTTAAAGATTTATTGTAAAACAATATCAGAATTTTAATGATACGTACCCATCCGTTCAACCTCTGTAGCCGCAACGCAGTTTCATACGCTTGAATTTGCTGAAATATTATATTGCATAAGACATTTTCCCTTAACCTTCTGATTTTGTGAAATGGATTGTCCAAACATTTAACTTGAAGCAGTCCATTCAATGTTTATGAGAATTCAGTATCAAAATACAAAAGTTGAGTTAATAACAATTAAAGAACATATTCGTATTACATGGAAGTGCAATCTGGCCAGGTTCTGTCCTAGTGGTTCAATCAGGTCAAGAGTTAATTTGAATTTTATTTTGCCGGTACTAATTATATTCTTTATAAAGAAAAAATTGTACATGTATTTTATACAGAATCGCTAGTCAATCAATGACAAAAGGCGCATACAAAAATGTTAAAATGATACATTTCCAATGTGTATATGTTATATCCTTGAAATTACAGGATTTTTAGAAGCTTTAATCATAAAAGTAAGACATTTATTTAACATATCTAACTGGGAGTCATGGAAATGATTCACAGTAAGCAATATGATGACAGAACACAGTCCAATAATTTTCTTTCTTTAATAGCTTATATATATATGCAGCAGAAAAGTTTAGAACATATAAAAATTAAAACTTCAAGAACGCCTTACCGGCAAAATTGATAATGTTTCAGACTCAGTTTAATTGAGCCTATTGGCGGTGGGTAGTAATAATGCAAGCTACCGTCAACGCTCCGTAGCACGGACTTCAACATATTATTATAAACTTACAGATTAAATTTCAGGAGTTCGTTGAAAAAGAAATCAAAGAATCTAATCCTTAACGAGTACGAGCATTGTAAATTAAAATTTATACAATTAAAATCTGTGACTTCATTACAAACTGACGAAGTTCCCAGTTTGAAATATAAAAAAGGTAATCAACTTGCCTGTAGGGCCTTAACTGACACCGATGTTTTATCACCTCTTGACGTAACGTTTTTGGTAGAGCTTTTCTTTTTCTGCACATCCATTTGTGCCTGAAGAGACCGCCTGAAAAACGATTTTCACGTCGGTCTTAAACTATTGATATTGTCTTATATGAAATTAAACACAGGAAAAGAAACAACATTCATATAATATGCTATCTACTGATCGCATTATAATAATGATATTATTATTGTATGTATTGTTTAAGAAACATTTAGCTGAATCTTTGAATTTACAAGTGAATGATTGTAAAATCAACAGGCCTTTGCTTACTTTAAAATGATATAATGTACATTTCTTTCATTGCCAAGTAAAGCTGAATTGACTATATACATATATTTCAAAATATTGACTGATTTAATATTAATTGACCTACAGTTGATATTGGAAAATGTTTAACCTAAAATATAAGACTGCCCCATTGTTTTAACGAATTTAACGTTACAGGTAAATCCAATAGATATTTACAGAAATTCACTCGGGCTATGCGAGTTTTTCATCATTTATGTGGAGAAAACTATAAAATTAAAATGAATTATGGCAACGTGTAAACTTAGTTTGACTTTTCTCCTGTTCACTCATTATATACCTCTGTATTGGCATAATGCCACCTTATGCTAATGAATGTGAATAAGTAAATTGTGCCTTGGTGTTAATATTGTCATAGAAAAAAAAGTTTCCTTACTTTTCCTTAATAGTATTGGTTGAACATGACATTCTATCACGTATGGCCATGAAAAATACTTCTTCCTTTGTTGACAGGAAATAGTTCATCATTGACTCCTGTATAAATGTGAAAGAAACATATTGTAAGTAATGTTTGCACGTTTGCATATCATTTCACTATCTAAACATGTACAGTAAAACCTATGTTAAAGATCATCTCTAAGTCTGTCTCAGTCTCAGGTGTGTAAATCAACCTGTAAATAAAGGCCACTCATTGACTTATTGAATAAAGCAATCTGTAAATAAATGTGTTTATACTATACTCGGTTTCTCCTTCCGAGAGTCATTGCTTATATAAAAAATGAATAATGTTACATTATTAATTAAGGAAGCATCACATATCATGAATACTTCAACACTAAAATAAATACCGTAACAGAATGCTTTTTCAGTCAAATGTATATATATGTTGAATGTATTGCAAAGGTACTTGTATGTCAATGTTTTCTTGTCCTCTTTCTTCACTACAAAACTTTCAACGTTTTAAAGCTTCTTGTGAAAAATTGAGACATGTATATTTTTTTTAAAAATACTTCTGTCAACATATGAAGTAATTTTCTTTTTTTCCCTCAAGTAAAGAAAATTTTCTCTAATTTAGTTCGTAATAAAGTTTTTTGACATGTGATTGTGTATAAATGGTTATCTGCAACATAACCCTTAATCATTATACTATGAACTCTGACAAAATTAAAGCATTCACGATCACACACCAGCAGTACACATGTGCTACGCTACATGACATTGCCTTCTAGTGAAAACCACTACACATACCTGGACCGTTCTGTTGGCGTTTAACAATAAAGCACAGAGAAAGCCAAGAGTTTCTTTCGCTACTTGTTCATTTCGTGTGGCCAGATGTGGTAATATTTTCATCATGGCATCTTTGGAGTCATAAAACTTTTGAATATTCCCAATTCCTCGTAGTATCCTGATAAAAATACAAATGTATACAATGTACAAGCTAGCTTAGATAGAAAGCTATTTTTGTATTGCTTTCTTTAACACTAAAATACCCTCGGTATTCATTCTTTGCATATATCTCAATAAATATTTTGACTTAACATATCGATAAATTTGTACTCTGAATTTTAAACAAAGTTATCATAACATTAATATGTTAATTATTTTAACTTTATGCAAGTGATATTAAACTCAACTTAAATATCTGAGAAAAAATTCTTTTTGCCATGATAGAAAATGAGTATTATTGATATCTTTGTCTCAAATAAAAATGTAAATCAGAATGCTCTGCTACAAATGATCAAACTAATTTTGTTTTGTATTTTTAATTTGAAAATATCTTTTAAATATCTAAATTAGTTGTACAGTTGTTTAGGCAGTAGCGGATAGCTAAGGAGATCGGCGCTGCTTATGTTTTTAATAATAATATTCAGAAAATCAAATTGATGCCATTCAGTAGTCAAACTACTTCCCTTTTTAAAATAAAATATTTTTAGCAGTATGTTTGACATTACATGTAGTACTCTTTGTTTATGTTCGGCATATAGTTCAGGTAGTAGCGGATAGCTTTGGGGAGTATGGGATAGGTAGGTGAAGGTCAATGAGGGCGACTCAAAACGTCCTAAATTTAGTATTTACTAAGTACATGTCACAGAAACATGTTTTGGGGTTACTGGAATGAAAAATGTTACATTTGATAGTAATCTTTCAAATTTTTCTACAAGTAGATAAATTTATAAATAAATATCTGGTCAACAACTTATGATACAACTGTGACATGTAATAGTTTGAACATAGCTATAGTTTACCATAGTTATTTCTTTAAAAAATCTAAAATTATATCAACCATAGTAAATAGCTTTATTTATTTAAAAATTATTTATTTATTTTGTAACATCACAGTATACAAGCAATGATAACCGTATAATATGTTGCAATTTAACAAATAAAAACAATATTTCCTAAGATCTGTATAGATGAATTAAAAAGTAAACTATATATTTTGAATACATAAATTACAAAAATTTGGCAATAAACTTGAGCTGAGCATGTGTATTAAGTATGAAAAATGAAACAACAAAGTTCAATGAAAAAGAGGTCTGTTTTACATTAAAGCCATTATTAATCTTATAATCTAGTTGAAAGAAGGGCTAATAATGATGGTATATTCAAAGTATCAATACAACTGAGTTTAAATTATAAAAAGATAGAATAAATAATAATTAATATTATACCATTAAAACTGGGATATTTTTTTTGTTAAAGTCTATTTTTAATCCACTTTTGACGGCGTTTTGACACATAAAAAATTTTTGAGACCACCCCCAAATGTAAAATCCGTTACTGACAGAAGCACTTGCTATTCATTTTCAATAATTTTTAGTGTCAGTAGGAGTTATATCTGTAAAAGCTTTTGCAAATTTATAAACAAATGATTTTTACACCAAATCATGTCAATATTTCATTACTTAATTTGGTGTTGATCAATAGTTTTTTGTTTATTTCTTTTGGAAGCGCTTATAAACAGTCTGACGGTGACAACATCCGGTTACCTCGTTCTGATTTATGTAAGAAAAACTCGCTGTGCAATTTGAAATAAATAAAACAAAATTAGCCACGGATGGCAAATATATCACTCTTTTTGATGGTATAATTGTATTATTTTGAAAAAGGCATATTTGATGGAAAGGAGCATTGTAACTGCCATTTTATCCGCTATACCCTAAAATCCGCTACTGCCTAAACAACTGTAATAAATTTTGACAGATGACCAAATAAACCCACGTATTTCTTAAATTACAATAATTAGCTCTTTTTATCAGTCATATTTATACCGAAAAAGACGTTGTTTTCCTTTATATATCAAACATCTTCATAAAGCTATAGATCGTACAAAGATAACACCCTCTGTTTTGTTTACACCTGAAGTCACTTTAATATTTTAATCCGCATGTTCCGTTTAATATTTCTGTACAATTTGCAAAGTTTATATTCAGAGCATGACATATGCATTATATTAAATTTAATTAAGTTAAGAATAGTGTTTTGTTTCAATTTAATAGTAAGTACTTTGCAACTTTTGGTTCCGCTGTTCTTGTTGGCCAGTCATCAGGCAGTCTTCGTTCTTCATTATGCACCATGGCCCTCAATATTTGTAAACATTTAATGTTCAGTTCGTCCATTTCCTGTCTTGCCTGTTCTGTTAATCTAGTGAATCCCGATGATATTCTGTTATGAAAAATATCAACGTCAATTACACGTACATGTTAATGCACGTTCGTCTTTGAAATATAGAGAATACCATGCTAGTGTCTGATATTATAAAATTTATCAGGCAAGGCTAAGAAAAAAATGAAGGGCGAGGCTCTACCGAGCTCTTCATTTTTTTCGTGCCGAGCCTGATAAATTTTATAATATTAGGCACTTGTTTGGTATTCTATTTGTCATGTTTTCAATTTCAAATGATGTTTTTTAATTGAAGCAAAACCCTATCCAGAACCTCTCGTGTTCAGACGGCGCGCAATAATATGTGAAATGTCAAATAAAAAAGAAATAGTCCCGAATGTTTTAGTTAATTGTAAGTGACGCGTTCATATTCAAAATTTCTATTCGATTGATAGTTTATCAGTTAAATATTTCCAATCCAGTGTCAGGAAAAAATAGTCCATTCTTTTTATTTCATTTCTCAAATTTCGCATATTTTTGATATTTTGGTTTCATGTCGCCATCTTGAATGTACCGACGTATGGATTATGAACGTTGAACGAGCGTAATCGATAGATGAAAATTGGACATAATGTCTGGGTTAAATGGATTTATCAATTCACAAAATAAGATTACGTGTTTTTATTCAATATCAAGCGTTTCATGAGACATATCAGTGTGACATTAATAAACAGGATATAAGAAAACACAAAGTAAACAAGATTTGAAAATGTAGTTGAACAGTGTTGAACAGCTGATTTCACGGAAAATGGAAATTTTAAGTTTACCAGTTCATCGTCAAGTGTTTATATCTTTTAAAGGGAATTTACCGACTTGAATAAACATTCAGGTTGTTGACATGCAATACTGCGCCATAAAATATGGAATTTAAGCTGTTGCTGGATAAAGCAATCTGCTGTGATGAGTGGGTGGGGTAACTGATTTGGCCAAGATTAATTTGGCCATGTGACTCCGTTGAAACTGCAGTATGAGATATGGAAATGGACTCTAATGACTTATTTGTAACAGTGCCAGTTTGATCTGTAAAAGGCGATGGAGAATCTGACTAAAAAAATTATTTCTTTTAATTTATTAAAAAGTGTGAAGCAATACAACAAAATAAAAATAAAACAGTAACAATTTTTTTTTGTGTTTTTAAAATGTTTTATTTTCATCGTATCAAAATATGTAGTATTTGTAGTATCCGATGTAAACAGTAGACCGGAAATGACCCGAAAAAAGTAGTTCCGTCAAGGTCAAAATATGTATTGATGAGGTATCTGATAAAGCTTGGGGTGATTGATAAAGCTAAGTTTATTAGTCATGCACTTTATCAACAGAAATCAATGTAATGACATGATAAAATGCACATTTTGTGTGGAAGACAAATTACCATTTAGTTTAAGTTTTGCTACTTGTATGACAAATTATTTCATATTCAACACTGTTTTCGTTCTGCATGTGATAAATATCTAACATGCTCCAAATCCATGTTTAAAGCATCATTCAACACAGGTTTGCATTATTTCAGAGGAAAAACTGAATTCATTTCTAGGGTATATATTGTCCTTAATAATCGGATAGGAAATCAATGTTCAGCTACAAATTTATATTTATTACTGCAGGTCTGATTACTTTAGGATATGAATATGATATAGAATTGTATTCATTAACTATTAGATTATTTCAAAATTTGTGTAAATGAATAAAATGTATGAAAACACAATTGAATAAAACTTACTTAAACACCCCATGTAATATATGCATTTTGATTGAATCTTTATAAAACGCTATTCCCTTAATTTCTGAGATTTATTTTACATGTACATTCAATTATACGAGGTTGTATTTTATGTAAACACATTTACATACTTGAGTTGTTCTATAAGTTTTGCCGTCCACTCATACTTTTTGGCCGTTTTCTTTTCGTTATGGTTAACGAAACATTTCACTAAACTTTGGAACTCTTCACCGAGCGGTAATTCTTCATCACCACCTAACACTGTATACTCTGAATAAATACAACATTAATTTAGTACCTTGCAAGTTATAGACTGGTAGACATAACCGAATATTCGATCATAACATCGTTTATTCCTGAATTCGATATCACATCACAAAACTAAATCTAAAATTGTATCTCATGACATTTTAATAGCAAAAGGAAGAGAATGGCATTGAAACGAAACAGTGCAAAGAAAAATATATGTTTTTTTATGTTTTATTTAGAAAATTGGAATGTAGGATAAATATTTTAATTTCGGGTTAACATACTTACTAAACCACAGAAGACACTGTGATGTTACTCCGCTTGAAGTGAGTGGTTCTATTATTTCGATATGTCAATGTGTTTTCTTAACAATTTGGGTTGAAATCAAAATTTTGTACTACTGTCTATATTTTATGACAAGAACTTGTATGGCAGTTAACGAAAACAAAATTGCTTAAGGTAGGGCTTGATTATATATATATAATTTTACCTACCTCGGTCAAGGTTATAGCCAAGCTGTGCAGCAACAGTATTGTGGCCGGCAAACACTATAGAACAATTCTTAGTAAACGATCGAAATTTGGCATTAATCTCCACTTCATCCGAGTAGTATTCGATGTTGCCCTGATTAGATAAAAATGAATAAATTACAACAACGGACACAATGCACTTGATCAAATGTTTCAGTCCGGTGACAAAGGTAAAACAAGTTATCACAATAAAAGCAAGATATTCTTTTGTATACGCGTACAAATATTAAATTTGGGATACTTTCAAAAATATATTAAGCATTGTATCATACACATTAGAATTTTAGCTATTCCAGTCAAAAATATTTGTATTGATATTGAAAAACAGTTTTGTTTTTAAATTATAATGATAAAAAACAAACATGTACCTTTCTGATAGCACTCGATGTGTCTTCAGCTTCTATGCCAGACGCCCATCGTCCTAAGATTGTTTCTATGTTCTGTAAATTATCATGTACACAATAAGACATGTTAAATATCAAAAATGACATCGTATCAAATATTTTTCACTAAAAACAAGTATGTGTCAGACAGAACTTATTGAAGAGTAAGTAAGAATGATTAATTTATTTATACTAAGAGATCGAATTTGAATTAGATAGGGAAAACGGTATGCCTAAAGAACGCACAAAACGGCTAATTGAAAAAAGCTTTATGATTGTAATTTTTAGCTCGTTCATTGACGTTATTGGTCAATGCATGTTACCATGCATGCCCACAATCACAGACTTAAGCGCTATTCAACATTAAATGTTATACATGACTATGTTAGTATACATCCACATTAGGATATTCCCACAAAGAAACCACATTATACTTGATAGTTTCTGCACTGAACCTAAAATACTCATATCTTAATTGGTTTTACAGTCATTTTCGGAAAGAAAATAGTAAGTAGTATTATATTAAAACTTACAGAATTGGGCATGTTTGATATTGGTACAAGAACTGTAATTGCTTCACTGATATTCTTCATGTGCAGTGGTTTGTGGATAAGTGGTCCAAGAATCTCTCCAAATAGCTGTAAAGTAATGAATACAAAACTCTTACTCGAGTATAAATTCAATGACTATACAACCGTTACGGTCATTTGTAACGCTTTGTACGCAACTATTATTTAAGACAAATTTATGCTTATAGAAAAACTGAAAAATTACACGTTTTTTCAAATCATTTGACCATCCAAATTATTCAGTTATATTATAAACCACGCGATATTGCTTTCTATTCTTATTTACATTTTAAAACATTTTGGCGAACTTTTCGCGGTTAAGAATTAAAAGTGATGGGTTTCTTATTTTTAACAAATAAAAGTGTGCTAGTTGAATAACAAAAATCTGTGAATCTAAAACAATGTTGTCAGTGATTTAAACAGAATTTAAAGAGATTTTTTCACACATACCACGACGGCTTTAGCTATATGGTCAGTCTCGTCAAGTTCATTAGGATGGGAATGTCTTTCAGGATAATAGAAATACTGATAAAATGATGTAAGGAATGGTAACACCCCTTCAAGAAAGTACAGCATTGTTCCGAACGAACTGGACTCGAAGTCTGGTGCTGCCGCTTGTCCGCTGAGTATTTAAAATAAAAAAACGAATTGAGCCGCGTCACGACAAAACCAACATAATGGGTTTGCGACCAGCAAGGATCCAGACCAACCTGCGCATACGCGCAGTCTGACAGGATCAATGCTGTTCGCTTACAAACCCTATTACAAGTAGAGAACTGATAGAGAACAGGATCCAACCCTATTACAAGTAGAGAAACTGATAGCGAACAGCATGGACGCTGATTAGACTGTGCGGATGCGCAGGCTGGTCTGGATCCATGCTGGTCGCAAACCCACTATGTTGGTTTTGTCGTGGCTCGGCTCAATGTAAGCTTATACCATGTTATGAAATATTTAGAATGAAATTTATAAAAGACTTTTGTGATTCCAGTTTATGTAATTATCTTATTTAATGTTTAAATGACATTACTATAAAATGCACAAACTGTAATTTGTAATGTATCTATATAAAGATAGGATAAAGTCAACTAGTCAAGAATAACTTATTATTTTTCTTACTGATGAAGTGATGCAATTTTTACTGTCACTGTTAAATTAGTGTTAAATGCATTTCTACTGTAAGCCGATGCTGGGGGGAGGGTACAAACGGTAGCTTGCAATTACCACTACCGTCCGTGAATAGGCTCAAATAAAGTCTGCAATATTTTCAATTTTGTCATTTAGGGCGTTCTTTAGGATTTTTCTCCAGTTTGACTGATTATAAACTTTAATGTCTAGGCTGAGAGCAGAAAGTTATAAATACAATTACATGTAGTTTAAATTATAAGTAGCCTTGCTTTGTTGATAAAGTAAATATATTCCTCACCTTTTCTCTGGTGCACAGTTAATATATATGGCCATCTTGTCCGGATCTGCTTTTATGCTGTCTGTAAGTTTGTTCATCTCAAGGGAGACAATCGATATATAATGCCATATTTCTCTGTATAAAATTATAACTAACATAAAATTGAAAACATATTTATATAGCAATTCTATAATTATGTAGCATAATTAAGGTCATACATTTATACATGTAATAATTTATGAACTGTTGCAGATCAATCACACGTTAATATTTAACTTTTCTGCTCTTCGAAATGTTGTACTGTTAACATTACGATACAAATGCTAAATACAAACCGTTAAAAAGAAAACATACAATAACTCTAAACGACTGTAGACAATTATCTTACTCAAAATGCGACAGCTCACTCGCCCCAGTGTCCATTTTTGTGTCTCCAGTCTTCATGTATACATGGTGCAAACATTTCAAAAATGGCTTCTTGAAGACATTATCCACCTTGTCACTATTCAAGACCATAAGTAGGTCATCGATAGGTAGAATAGTCTGACATAGGGATTCTATGAACATGTTTTCTCCCTGAAACACATCTTCATATATTAAAATGAAGGTCAGAATAATTCCTAAATATTCACAATATTACAAAATAGATAAATACAGAATCCCTAAAGAAAGCCAACAAGATATAAATACGTACAAAATATTTGCATATACATTAATGTCATACTTTGTACCATATTTTTCTATTCCGGCAAAATTTACCTTTATGCTAATTTTCATAATATATATTATTTGCAAGGTAAAATGATATATGAATAAATTTACCTCAGCACATGCGGCTAACAAGTCCAGTAAACTAATGTAGTACCGTAACCTGGCGATCTCACCTGGGTCTGTTAGTATATTTATCCTAGAATGTAATTATATACAGGCAATACATAAAAAATGCTCAAAGTTGATATACATCTACAGCTTTAATAATGTGATATCATCTTTTAATTGCTTATTCCTTTTTATTCTGAAATAATACTTTGTCCAATTAATTTATTTCGTCTTCCTAAAAATATTGAATTTAAAGATAAAAGAAAGCCTCATTTAATAGGTCACATAAATTCTATTTTATATAGTTACATGTATTTCTATTTTTTCCTTTAGTATACAGCTAAACATAGGTTAAAAACAGGTTCATCTCTTCATGTCAGTTGTAAAGGGACTGATATACAGTCAACTTCTAATGTCAAATATCTAGGTGCAACACTTGATCAGTCTCTCTCCGGTGAAGCAATGGCAAGTTCTATTATTAACAAGCAATTATCATAGTATTGCAAGCAATCCATAAGTCCCCTACCGGTTAGAACCCCATCAACATTCTGAAGGGCCATTCACTAATGTTTCAATTTTTCTCTATTTTAAGTACATTTGTTGGAAAAGTTCTTTAAAAGTGATCACAGGAAACAGTTTTTATGAACAGACAGACTGAAGGACACTCTAAATTTAATATTTGAAACATCCCTGTTACCAAAATAAAACATTTTAAAAGCAAAATTCTTAAACAGGAGATAACTCTTGAATTAAAGATGCAATTTCATAAAAGTTTTCAGCTCTTTTTGACTAATCACAAATATTGTTATATTTGCCATGTTTTAAGCCTATTTGTTGCCAAGGCAACTGATATTTTTTCAAAATAGGAAGAACAGATAAGACATGCATAATCTCAAGACTGCCATCTACCCATATGTCAAGTTTCATAAAAATATTTCCAGTACTTTTTGAGTTATCACTGGATTCAGTTTATGTGTAAAATTTGCCATATTTTCAGTCTATGTGTTGCCATAGCACCCAGAATTTTCAACATAGGAAGAAAAGAAAAAGACGTGCATAATCTCTAGACTGCCATCTACCCATATGTCAAGTTTCATAAAAATATTTCCAGTACTTTTTGCTTTATCACTGGATCCAGTTTATGTGTAAAATTTGCCATATTTTCAGCCTATTTGTTGCCATAGCAACCAGAATTTTCAACATATGAAGAAAAGAAAAAGATGTGCATAATCTCAAGACTGCCATCTACGCATATGTCAAGTTTCATAAAAAATATTTCCAGTACTTTTTGCTTTATCTCTGGATCCAGTTTATGTGTAAAATTTGCCATATTTTCAGCCTATTTGTTGCCATAGCAACCAGAATTTTCAACATAGGAAGAAAAGAAAAAGACGTGCATAATCTCCATACTGCCATCTATCCATATACCAAGTTTCATAAAAATATTTTCAGTACTTTTCAAGTTATCGCGGGATCCAGTTTTGTGGACGGACGGACTGACGGACTGACAGACGGACGGACGGACAGACGGACGGAGGGTAAACCTAAAGTCCCCTCCGGTAAACCGGTAGGGGACTAAAAAGGCCAATGTAAGGTTAAAGTTTCTGTATAGAAAACGTGATTATCTCACATTTCACACTAAAAAACTTTTGGTTATGGCCCTCATCCAATGTCATTTTGATTATGCATGTTGTTTCTGGTTTCCTGGGGTTACTAAATACTGGAAGGATAAACTCCAAGTCACACTAAATAAATTAATAAGGTTTGTTCTAAATCTTGATTATAGGTCACATATTGATAATGAACACTTTAAAATTTTAAATTGGCTACCTGTCCAGAAAAGAGTTGATCAAATCATCCTATGTAATGTTTTTAAAATAAAACATGGACTTGCCCCTGAATATATGGGAGAAAACTTTATTCCATTAGATTCTGTTCAAACTTACAGGACCAGGTCAAGTTAAAGTGGTTGTTATATGCTACCTAAGGTCAAAGGTTTCAGATCAAAGTCTTTTGCTTACAATGGATGTGTATTGTTGAATAAACTACCCTCTTCTATTAGGATGAAATCAAAATTGTACAATTTTAAATTATCTGTTAAAAAACATTTACTTAATGGGTAATTATCTCTTTTAAGGGTGCCTATCCTCTAGTCTTAATATTTATTATTTTTATTAATTTATTTTAATTTGAAAATTTTATGTATACTATTGTCTTTCTTTAATTTAAAACTGAGATAAGTCATTTTCATGCCTCTCTTTGTCAAAACCACCAGTATCTAAGGACCACAATGGAAATAAGAGATTAAGTTCTCTTTCTTGTGTTATCCTTGGTATGATGTTTTTGATATGGTGCATTTCTTTACATTGATATTTGTTTTTATTGTTTTATCATGTATTGGATATGTTCTACCATGTTATTTACTGAATACTGAAATAAATCTGTCTATCTATCTATCTATAAAGATATGTTTACATAGTTTTTCTGTTTTACCAAGTTATATTCTTCTTCTTGTCATATTTCCCAGCGCTATTGAATATAGCGAAAAATTGTTTTTTCAAAAACCTTCTGTCATCAAAATATTTATTTATACCTTTCTTCCCTTGACATATCAAGAACAAAAGCCACCCTTCGATAGCTCTGCATAATGTACTTCATGACGTAAGCCTGGTTCCTTTTCAGGGTAAGATTGAGACCTGACACTTTGACGACCATACCAAGTAGATCAAGAAATTCTGGAGCTTTTTCCTGAAGTTCTGCTATTCGAGTGACAATTTTCTGTATTTGTTTCTGTGAAATCTTTAAGCAGGTAAACTGGTTTCCATTGAATACCTAATTAAAACAAAAATATTTGATTTCATATAAACGTCTGACTGTTTGTAATCACTATATAATATTTCATTCGTAATATATTTATCAAATATATCACCATATAAGAAAAATAATCGAAACATTATTCAGAATTTATTTAATTGATTGATTCTTTTCATGGTAAAATCTTTATAATTTAAGAATCATGGCAAAATAATAATGCACGCGAATATAAATATTATTACACAATGTTTAATATAGACAGTGAATCATATAAACTGTAAGAACTTGATTCATAATCAAGCTTGATAAATATGTTGAAACTTAACCTCTTTCAGTGCGATTGCCAGGTCTGATTCTACAACTTTGACGTTTAACATGATGTCCAGTCGTTCCATTATCTTGTACTGGACACTGAAATTCTCCCTCGCTAACAGCTTTAGCAAGTAGAAAGATTTCTTGAATATATCCGCCATACCACTATATACACTCTATTAATAAAGAAATACATAACAAATATGATGTTAAATGTATGAACGATGTCACTGTGTTTACTTGTACTTTGGTTATAATATGATTTTCGGCCTTTTAAATATATTAAGCATTTCAATTTTCCAATAACTGTATTTATAACTTTGGCTATAATATGTTTTACATTATTTCTGACACCAGCATTTCAATTATCCAATAATTTGTAAAGAGCAAACACAATACTTATCCTTCTCCCATTTCTAACTATCTTTAGACTTTTAGCAACCCAGAAAATTAAGAAATAAACTAGGAATAGAAAACGTTAACAAATAAAATACTTACCATCAGTTTCGGATCAATATCTTGCTCAAGTATTGTAAACAGAACGTCGAGGACACCTTGTATAATAAAAAATAAAAAATTTCAATTAAAATATGGTATTTACTTTTTCTCATTTTTTTTCTATTTCCTATTTTAACAAACGTGTTACAAATATATAGAAAATAACATAACACAACATAATAAGTACAAATGTATGTAGTGTGATAAATACAATGTAAACATGGTATAAGATCTGATTGTCTATATTTTACATCATAAACGGGGTAATTTTTTTATCTTACTAAAAATTTAAAATAAACGAAATCAAAACAAAAATAAAGGTGATACCATTGCTTATCAGAATATTCTGGTTCATTGGGTGTGGCTCATCAGGTGTCATTGGTAGATGACAAAACCTGAAACATTAAAAGTGAGAGTGTATTTCACAACAAACAGTCAAATTATTCAAATCTATTTGAACTATACCGCAAAGTTTATCTTACTGTGACAGATTTAACAAAAATATTACTTACAAATTGTATGTAAAATAATATGGCTTACTCTGCAAGATCATCGAGTATGCTGCCCATCATTTTTATTTGGAGGTCATCTAATTTGGCATTTGAAAGTCTCCTCAAGACTGGCATATTCTTCAACACCTCTCTGTGCACACGTGCAGAATCCTGTGTCAGCAATATCTAGAACAAAAAATTATTCATTGTATACACGACAAAATGTTTTTACTAGGGTCTTTATAATAATATCTTAATAAAGATCAAACAAAGTTGAATAATAAAAATAAGAAAGAATGATTGAAGGTTTCTAACATATGCTCACCTGGGCTTGACTGCCGATGTTAAACATGCAACTCTTTGTCGAGTAAAGCTTGTTCATGATAGTCATGGATTTTAGCACCATCTTGTTGTCTTTGTACATCGACAAGTCCTGCAGATAATGAATGACTAAGAAATTACTATGTAAGAGTCTGAAGTTTCTATTCTTTTATCAGCATAGTTTCTGTTCTGAGTAAATTAACCAAAATAAAATCAGGAATCAGTACCCGTTTGCAAAAGGAACATTACTTTAAATATTAACTTTGAGAAACTTTGATAGTTTTTAACCGAGTCTGCAATCCTGTCGTTTTGTGCGTTCTTTAGGGATTCTGTTTCTCTCTATTTTACTATTTATGTTACAAGACATTAGATGATATACTTCTATAAAGTTGCTGCTCTATTACACAAATCATATATAAAATCATTTGCTTTACTGTTTTTAAATTATAAAGATGTTTTACCATGAGAACTTTTGTAAGAAATTCGAGGTCAAACAGGGCAGAAAGCTTGAACATATCGTTCAACTCCTTGTTGACCTTCTTCTGCACACCGATTGCTTTCCTAAAAACAACAATGATTTGTAAATATAGTTATTAAAACTGTTCCCATTCAAATTGTATGTGTTTTAGCACGTTATTACACGTATATCAATACAGCCCCGTGGTCGAGGGGTTAGAGTCGATGATTTCTAATCCAGTTACCTCTCTGGCGTTAGTTGCTTTTGGTAGTTTAGCATGGAGGAAGGTAGTCTAGTACTGGTGTAACTCTCAAGGCACGATGGTTAGAAACTACTCGCATATATGACTGAGATACTTTTGGGAATATGCGTAAATTGAAATAAACAAACGGAAAAACAAACAAACACGTATACCAAATAAAATGTTGAATCACAAATGGAGTAAAACAATAAAAGGTACTACAAAATCTAAAATATGTAGCAAGTAGCTTATCTATAGGACAAAAATATCCATACAAAATACAGTTTATTTCTTTATTCCTGTCTTTTATTTTTACATACTAGCATCAAATCTTTTAAATATCTATTATTTATAGATCTGAATACTTTATTTTATCTTCAGAATTAATTATCACAATTAAAGATATTCTAAGTCATTTTGTACTTTAATGTTCAAACAAATATTAAAATCTATTAGGATATAAATAGTATTTCTACGAGGAACTAAATATTTGCAATTCGTTTCATTATCCTGAACAAATTCTTCATTTGGACACTGTTTCTACAGGTTTTTATTTTTTCAGATTTTTATTGTGAAAAGTACTAAATTTTTTTTAAACACATGGTAAACTTGAATTAGCAGTAAGAATATTTCCCTTTGACCTTGGGAAATTAAATTACAAAAATAGTGAGGGTAATAATATAGGATAATAACTTACTTGCTTTGGTCGTGGGGGTTAAAAGTGTCATACAGTAACGGTGTCATGATTGAGGTTTTTCCCTCGCCTTCCAGTTGTTCTGCTATTTTGAACTTTCCCACAAAACTCTAAAACAAGTATGATAAATCTATCTATATCTCGAAACAACTAGTATCTCATGACTAAGAATAAAATAATACGTTATTGAAATGAATCAAGAGAATTCCTCTTTTCAATAAAAATGGCATTGAAATATTATTTCTTTCGGCAATTATAATAAAAACTAGTAACTAGGCTATAAGTAATTTCCAAACCTGAAGTCTCAAGTTCCTCTGATATGTTAACAGTAAATCCAACACTTCCAGCACCCTGTAATACAATATAAATGCTTTCACATGATTATACCTAGACATGGAACACTGAAAAGTTTACCAACACGGCAAATGTGCAGGTTTACATTGATAGAGCCAGTGAAAAATGCAAACTCCTATATCCATTGTAACGGCTTAAGCAGACCTCAACATTTAAACATGAAAATGGATTTTATAAACGGATATGTTAATACGGCTTTATATTTTGTTTGGTATCTGTATGAGTTACTTTTATGAAATATATACTTTAATTATGTAATGGCTATTTTCAATGAGGTGTATAAGTTTTTTTACTGATTATTTTTTCAATTACCAAAACTATTTAAAGTTTAATTCACGCTTTATATCATTATATCAAGAAATTAATTAGCGAAGGTCTTAGTTTACGAATGTTGGGTTTGATAAAAAAAATCTGTAAGATATTTTAACTAACTTACTGGAACTTTGCTCGACTAATCGCCTCAGTTTCTTTTGTCTTCTCAAATCTGGCTGTCATCTGATAGGCATGTACCTTTTTCTTTTCATCTTTGCTGTATCCTGTTATTATAAGATAAGATATGATATCACATAAACAAAGGCACAGGTATGTAATAAAGTCATTGGATAAAATAGATATTACACTCAGTCTGGTGTAATAAAACTTTGTTTGACGTGACGCCATTGCGTTATACAAACATAGCGTGAAAGCGCGGTAATGTTAGCGTAAAATGCCAATGAAAAATCATTCCTTTTAATTTGACTATGTGATTAGTAGAATATATACGTATAGATTCAATACTAAACTTATTGAAAGAGTTGAATAAAATTTATGGGAGACTCTGACGAGCGTAATATGACTTTATTTAACTCCTACAATAAATTAAGTATTTAACATACACTCGGTTAATATCATATTCGATAATGCCATTTGTAATTTAGTAATTGTAATTACTAAAAATGGAACTCAATTTATTGCCATGAAATAATAAATTCAGTCGACTTTTATTCTTTATTTAAGGGACACTAAAGAGAATGTAGTGTCATCATTTCAAAATATATTTGCATTACACATAATACAACTTCATTTGCTTGATTGATGGTAATGAAAGATTTTGAAATAAGAATGTGACCGGGAAATATTGGGACAAATTTGTAAATTTATACTGTAATTAGTTTGATGATACTAGTGGGTCACAAATGGAAGCATGTCAACACAATCCTCTTACCTAACCTTCTGCTTGTTTTGTAACAACTATAATATTATATTAAAACAAAATCTGCATACCTTTGTCTTTAGCAGGGAATGGATAGTCGTGTCTACCATCAAGAAGGTTTAGTAAAGGTGGGAGTAGATTGTCAACATCCTCGGAGTCCATATAGTAACCAAACTTTACTAGAAAATACAGAAGTCGCAAAACCTGCAAAAATGTTAATTTATATTTAGAAAGTATATGTAATGCTTTTAAATAAGTCTAAAATAATTCTTTTTTAAAAAAAAATAAGTGCCTATTGCATAAATGAAGATATAAAGGCGGATTTTTATTTTTAAAAATAAATTTTAAAACGATAAATGGAATACATCCAATGCATAAATTTTTACAAATAATGTGAATATCGTAAGAGGTGACAAAATAAAATTGCACTGTTTCTTTTTTTCCTTTTATTCTTCTTTAGGAATGAAACGCAATAAAGCTCCTGACATACTACATCAACATTTATTACTACAGACCTGTTCAATCAGCATGTTGTGACCGATCTCTGATGCATACATGCACAAGTTCTCCGATAAAAACTCTGCAATCCAGTCTCGAAGTACAGGAAAGATGGCGACCAGCTCTTTCATTATCTGCAAAATTAGAAGCATGACGGCTCTTGTTTTCATTCTAATTTTCCCATTGCTCAATTTTTTTTAATTCAAGACACACTTAATTTGCAAAAACAAATGCCTGTTCAACCCTAGTTGTTGTTTTTGTTGTTGTTGTTTTTTTTTTCAGTATTGTCTACCGTAATATCATCATGTGATATTTCATTTTGGTAAAACAAAAGTTGAATATTTACTAGAATATAATTAAATCGTCACCGGTCAACTTTATAACACTTGCATTAGTTCGATTAATATAAGTTTAAATGTAATGGCATCTAATGTTAATTCCTATATGTACGTGTACAATGTATTCATAAATGTATTAACTATTCATTTAGATGTGGCTCTGTGTTTCAGTTCCTTTAATAACAAATATTTTTACATGTTATTTATTTCAATCTTAATTTCGTTAACCTTGTGAACAAACAGTGGGTTTTACTGAAAGATCAATTTTTAACTTTTTAAAGTCATTTCAGTATAAAAAACCATTACACATGAATGAAATTTGCATTAATACTAACAAAATCTCCTGCACTTTTTTCTTCATCCTTTGAACCAACATAATCATATACGAAGCAAATATTCGGGTATGCCAAGACGGAATAGTTGTTTCCAATGTCAACGAACAGATCTTAAAAATATTGAAATATATATTGATTTCAAAGCAAACTATAAATTGCACTTTAATTAAAAACATGACAACATTCGCAATGTTCACTTGTTGCCAAATCATTACTTTTATTAAAAATGTAGTGTTAGATAGTTAAACAAGATCACAATAATTAAGAAATACAGAAGTCTGGACAGGTATAACTGATATGAAAATTTATCAATAAATCATAAGACAATTTTTAACTTGCATATTGTACAATGAGATTGATTAGTAATCGTGGTTTGGTCAATTATTAAAAATATCAATTTTATAAACGTGATAATTTTTTATCAAAGATTTTTGAGATTATATAAGTATCAAAAATGACATATGTGAAAAAGCATCACTAACTTGTTGTGATATCACAGTACTTTGCTCGGATAGCATCTGGTAAAATTGACGACCTTAAAGCTAGGAACGTTTCCTCCCAAGTTAGAAACCTCGACTCTTTTGTAATTATGTTGATAGCAAAATCATTACGACCCTTGTTTATTAAAATTAAGAAAATAATAGATGAAGCCTTGCAAATATGATTATAAAACATGTGTAAGTTATTTAACACTTTTATATGCACAAAGCCAACACATCTTTCATATTTAGTACCTTTAAACAATCAAAAGAGTAATTGAAAAGAATTTTCAACATTGTATAGTATTGAAGATAACGCATTTGAATGAAGTCCAAACATATGTGCAATTGGGTATTGTTCCATATAGGGCAAAATGTTTACTTCCCAACGTTTTAAAAATCATTTAAAGCAATTTGAAAAGTTTAAATTAACGTAATTCAACTGACACATTTTTAAATAAATTATGAAAATGAAAAATGAAACGTTGAATATAACATACCTTACAAAGAGCAATGAAAAGATCTAGCTGATGTAGCAGAAAATCGTGTTTGTCTTTCTCATACTCTTCGTGTTCTGGCTAAAATCATTAATTCAATGTTCACATGATTATTCTGAGTACAGTTTTATATATTTCTTAATTTATACAAAACAGATTTTGCTAGTATTTCCTTGGTCCACAAAAGTATTTAATCAATGATAAGTGAACACATTTTCAAAAAGAATGCTTTTTTTTACAAAAAAAGTATAAATCCATTCATTTCGTTTAAAAATTGAATTATGTAAAATATCACTGGATTTACCTTTTTATTACCATATTCATACTCAGTTATTAACATAGTTAAGGCAAATTTTGCTAAAAGAAGAATGGGTGTATGTATGGAAAGTGTATGCCTAAGAATACCTAAGGAGATTACGATTAAAATGTGTACGCTTGACATTACGTATACTTTCAAGCGTGTTTTGTTAAACATACATTGACAAAGTCGTGCAAAGCAGACCATGTTTTGGCATCATCTGTTGTTATGTAGAGTATATTCGGCTGCTTGTTGATATCCTGACCTCTAGCTGTCAAAAATATTCCTCTCTGTAATAAATTGATGGAGAAATTAAAACTGTCCTTCTTTACAACTTAAATGACAGTTGATGTTGTCTATACTACTAATATTAGTACTCCTTGAAAGTGTAGGCATTGAGTTCATGTGCTTGCATTTGTGAAAGTCATATAACATTCTACATTTCGTTTTGTTAATATCTGTATATTGCTTTCATATTAAACGAGCAAACCAAACACTTGATCCCAGAATAAAGGCGTGTTCTCATGATAACGATCCATAACGCATCAGGTTTTTACTCACCTAAGTAGCGGAATGAGAATTATTTGGATCATTTAACAATGTTTCTTTAGAAATTACTACTAAATTAATCATTTCTTTAAAATCGTTTGTAAAGCGATATATATGTTATAACTATATGTAAAATATATGCTTACTAATATTGGTAATGTTCTATAATTATCAATAAGGAGTTATAATGATGCACTTACCGGTTTATCAAGCATCCATTTTTGCACGATGTACACTTGATTGTTTGGAATAGCAATGTCATCACACACGCAGAGCACGTGCAGTAAATCTAGAAATCTGTAATTCTGGTTAATAAAAAGTATATTAATTCATATTATATCCAAAAATGTGTCTTGATTTTAAATAATGATTGCGAAATATGCAGTAGTTCTTCAATATTAAAACATACTATATAGTATATTATCATCTTTGTATATAAACACTCTATCAACCATTTGTCGGAATAAATTTGTGTCGTAAAAAACAACATTTTTTGAACATTTTGATTACCTGAGTTGACTGCAGAAGGCCGACAAATTCGTCAATCTGATGATGTGATATTCTGTCAACAATTTTTCTCTTGTCTCTTATCAACTCTACAATCATCTGAGCAACGTTCAGACCTATACCTCCCTGTTTAAAATGAGAAAAGATATTTCAAAATAGATAATTAATGGTCATTTTATAATCAATGGTTTACCAGACGATGAAACAACATGCACTGAAAGGCATTGGTTACTTGTATATTTGTCATTAATAAATACCCAAGTATATTTTTTAGTCTTTTATTTATCTTTATGTCGGAATCCAGTAGGAAAATTACATACCTACTCATGAACTAGTATTTCAAAAGTAAAAAATCAACGTTTCCGTATGAAGACATATTCTGCTGATGTTTACCTTTTGTGTAAACTGGGTCTGGAAGAACTCGATATATTTTGCAAAGTAAAGGGCATTTTTTCTACTTTTGCCGATCATGTACGTGTACAAAATCTCGTATGCCTCCTTGAATACTAGAATGATTGCATGTTCATCCGCAACGCCATCTAGCGGAAACTGTAGTATCTTCACCAGCAAATCTATCACCTGTATAATTTATAATAATATTTTTCTCTTAGTATACAAATTTATCAATGTTAGATCGAATAAAACCAATTTGGATTATGAAAACAAAGTCACTTTTAAAAGCTTAATTTGATAATTTCATTTCATGATTTTAATTGCTTTAAATCTTTGTGTTTACGAAATAAACCATCATTTTCAAAAACATATGTCCTTTTATTTAAGAAAAAATTGTCTGAAATGCAGAACTTAATACATACGTACATTTTCAAAACAAAACTAAAAGAAATGTGAATGTATAATTATTATGTTCAGGTACAGATTTGTGTTTGATTTAGTGTTTCATACTGAAAACATATTGCAAATGCAGTATATCTTACCCTAAGGTTCCTCATCAATTTCTGTCTTTCTTTGCTTGGCAGATTTTCCACAATCATGAAATGTTGAAGTTCGTCCATTGCCTGCAAACAAAGAAAACTTATCATCTTATATATATATATATATATATATATATATATATATATATATATATATATATATATATATATATATATATATATATATATATATATATATATATATGAAGCATCTCCTGTCCATTAGAAATGTGGTTGAATTTTATGAATTTTCATTTACCAATTGGCAAAGACAATCCATTTTTATAGATTTTCTTGCGAAATTAACATTTATCTTTTCAAATTAACAACAAATTTGTCGCGGATCTTTTACAAAACAGACCATGTTAGAATACTCGTAGCAAAATGCTATGACTTTAAAAAGGAACAGTGTAACATCTGCTTCTGTAGAGCAATACCCCTCAAACTTAACACAATACAATAAACCTGGTTATTACTTATTTCCTTGTAACATTTTCTTTATCTCTCAATGAACGTTTGTTACCGACATTAAATCTAAAAGCAATGTTGCATACATCAAGCAAATAAATTCAAGTTAATACAACATATTTTACCTGTACAGTCTGATGTGTCTTTTTAGAGTTAAGGGTGATCCCAACTTGCCTCTGAAGCAAAATAAATCTTAAAGAGAAACCTCCGAGAGATTATGTAACACAATAATAAACAGTTTCTATTTCATTTCTCTATATAAATACTTGAACTACTTGTCATGAAGTAAAAGATGTGATTCATGTTTATATTAGCATTATTTTTACATTCAGATGTTTACAAACACCCGGATAAAGAGCAATAATGATAGTTGGCTGCTCCTGCAAACATTAGCTATATGTTAAAACAAATATTACTTCTTGGAAAAATAAGGTATTTCAAATGACATTCTAACCTGATATTTATCATTTATTTTCTTATCCGTTAATTGAACAAAATGTGATAATTGTCATGTAACGTGTAGACAATAACTTACATCTTTGATCAGATTCTGTAGGAACGGTACCATACCAGCCACATAGTTAAATTCTCGAATATTCTCATCTTCAACTCTCTGTATTGTGAACGCGTCATCGTACTGACTCTCACTACTTCCGGTCACCTGCGGATACATACGAATAATTACCAGCATGTTACAGACTCGAATTCAGGTTACTTATCTCTCAAAGATACATACAAATTATTAAAGAATAGTCACACATTAGAAATCAGGGTTTCGGTGGAGACTATCATATACAAATGTACAGCATAATCGGATACAAAATTGTAACGAAGATATGAAGGTTTTTTTCTAAACTTATAAACTAAGTCTATAAAAATAAACAACTGTTTCATTCTTAAATGCGCCACGTTTACAGCACGCGACTCATCTAGCATTAACGAAAACACCAGTCTGACATACAAGAAAAAAATGTATACATGATCACGCTGTAAAAGCAAAATAAGTTTTCTATTCCTTAATGTACTACCCGTTTAACAGGGGCGCTGGAAACTCTTAAGCCTTTCAATGACTGGTCGTTGCAGCTTTCCTCGTCACGAAATTGTTTACGAATGTAATCTTCATCTGGAAAAAGAAGACATTGAAAAGCACATTGGCATTCTGAGATTTTATTTTTTGTTTACTATTACGCATCTTATTGAAAAGGCCTAATGATTAAAAAATATTAAAGCTTCACGCCTCCAGATGAGCCAAAATATTCCAAGAAAATAAATATTGAGAAAAATGTACTAACATTTTAAGAAAGGTAAAAACATATAAGATCCAAGTTCTATTTAAAATGTTACGTGTGGTTAAGAATTATTTTTTCAGTTTTTTATCACCATATTTTTACTGCGTTACTAATGCAGTAAGGGCTGTTTTTGTATATGTTGACCACTTTTTGGTAATTTTCGATGATTGTAAGAGCCGATTGCAATATATGAATTATTTTATTTGTTCATCTCTCAATTTTTTACTTTTAAATACACTTCCAAAAAACAAAAAAAAACAAATGTCATTAAAAGTAGTGCTCTTACCTTTCAGTGCATGCAGCCAAGATCCTGTAAGAACATGTTCGATCCTGCAGTAACTCTCGAATCGGATCTCGTCCCTTTCCTTAAAACAGTAAAATGCGAGAACTTTAAATATTTAAATAAGAATAGAAATAATTAATGTTCAATATGGTAAGCCTGCACAGACGTACAAGCTAAACTTACACTATATTGATGATAATGGTCTGCAATTACATTGTTAACAGAACTTTAACTCTTTCCAGTCTAAATATCTGAAATGGACCAGTTCAACGTTTTATGCTAACAAAACCGGGGAACGTTTAGGGACAGTTTCAAATAAAGATGAGACTGAATAGCGAGCATCGTAAATCATTTTTAGACGGTAAAGATAAATCTTGGTCTGCACTGGCCCTGTTGTCACAAGGAGGCTAAAGGGTATGGATAATGCAAGTGTAAATCGCAGCTCTATAATGTTAGTGCTATGATAATGGAATAAATAGAACATAATAAATATTCACGATAATGGAATAAATAGAACATAATAAACAATAATGATGATGAAATAAATAGAACATAATAAATAATCACGATAATGGAATAAATAGAACATAATGAAAAATAATAATGATAACGGAATAAATAGAACATAATAAACAATAATGATATGGAATAAATAGAACATAATAAACAATAATGATATGGAATAAATAGAACATAATAAACAACAAAAAATTGTCATTATTGAAACAAAAATTAAAAGAATTAATTTGCAAAATTGTAAAAACTAACATGTACAATTTCATGATATGTAATTATAACATCTTATTACGAATGGATTTTTAAAAGAGGGCGTACAAGTTGACGTAACCTATTTGATTGATATAACGTACATTTATAACGCTGTGAAGTCGGAACACTGTTCTTGGGTCTTCATTACTGTCAATCAATATAACCTCGTGCTCTGCTGTGATACATATGTATTTTCTTGTTGTCATGTGACGTAACCGTATCTGCTGCTCCCATTGGATAATCTCACCTTACCAGAACAGAACAGAACAGAACTTTTTATTTTCGCAATATTGAAGTATACAACAAAACAGTTACAGTGCGAATTCATATATTTTAATACAAGATACCAAATTACTGCATCCAATATGGTTTTGGTAAAGGAGAACATTGTTAAACATATTGTTAAAATGGTTATTCTAACTTAACAGGTTCACTGTATGATTCACAAAATTTTAAATTCAAATTCTTGCAGACATGGAAAGTCGCAAAGAATATTTCGAAACATTTTACTGTTTTTTGTCGTTGTTGTTGTTGTATTGTTTGTTTGTTTTTGTTTCTTTTTTTATTCAAATAACTAAATATCTTTGATATATAAAATGATGGTTAGTATTACCATGAAATATTCCTTTTTCCGCTTCTATCACCCAGAATGTGTTACCGGAGGTTGGCGGGGACAGCGTTCGCGGCTTATGCTGGTCCATTACTCGGACACGGAAATGAACTAGAAAAGATTTTTTAAAAAGGGCATAAAAGAAATAACAATTATTCTTCTTTTGAAGAAAATAAGTTATATAATAACTTGGCAGTCAGAATTAAAAATATAGCATTGGTATGATTATACATGTATCAAAAGTCTTTAGACCCTTTCATTCAGTAAAATTTGCAAAACAGTTAAAACTATCAAGAATTATATAAAAAAAAATGTGAAGGAAGTATGTGCATCTTCCACAACAACAAAAAATGTTTCTGTACATAATATTTTATTTTAAGAATACTATTACATAAAAACTGAAGTGGATGCAATATGCAAAACGTTTATATAAGTACCATCTTCTGTGATTTCATCCTCGAAAAGACCTTCGGCAACAACATATGCCTCCAGTTCTTTGTGAAACAGTCGAATAATGTTTCCTCCCTGAAATTTATATGAATGACTCACTGCAGCAGAACATTTTCAATATTTTTGTGATAATGTACAATATACTGGCTATGAGATCAATTTTTGAATTTGCAGATCTTGTAGTAATTCACAGAAACAATGATCTGAGTGGTCTTGTTTATTTGTTTTAGATAATCGTGGAAGCTTGGAATACAAATGCTTTTTTCTTTCTAACAAATACACATATACATATATAAACGTCATAATGTCGAAACAGAGAATTTGTAAAAATATGTTTATGTAATTATACATGATTATATGGGTAAATATCAAGATTTTTGTCCATATTTTTATGGCAAGTTTCTAACAAATAGGTATTTTATATTTATTTGCATGATAGCAAGAATGAAAACTGGACAAAAACTTACCCGGATATATATAAGTGATTCTGTCGGTGGTCGTTTTCTGAATCGTATCAATGTAAATCCTGATCTTTCCACACCAAGGTTAAATTCCGACCTGCAAGAGATTCATTCATTCATTCATTCATTCATTCATTCATTTATTCATTCATTCATTCATTCATTTATTTATTTATTTATTTATTTATTTATTTATTATTTATTTATTTATTTATTTATTTATTTATTTATTTATTTATTCATTCAGTAATTTAGTCAGTTAATAATTCATTGTTTGGTTCATTCATCATTGTTGACCAAAATTGCACTGAATGAATGAATGAATGAATGAATGAATGAATGAATGAACGAATAAATGAATAAATGAATGAATGATCAATTATTTGGATGTAATTAAAAGTCTTTTTATTACCAATTTAGATAAATATAAAACATAAGTTAAAATAAATTTTTCATCATATAAAAAATTATATTGAAATTTATGAAATCAAGCCAAGAAATAAATTTAGCATGTGGAGAGCATCTGATATTTATACACTTTATAAATTTGTGATTGTCTACAATATTTACCCAAATGTAAAATGGTCAATCTGGAATGGTGAACTAGCATGTATAAAGTGACCTGGAGACTTCACACTTTCAAACACAATTTGATCGTATATTTGTACCTGAAGAAAACAACAACCTCAAAGTTTAATCCTCCATATTTATACTGATAAATGCTAACAAACATGTTAATCAATCTCGATTTTGTGTACTACTAGATACCATTTTATTACATGCATTTCAATAGTTCCCGACTAATATAGGTATAACGGCTGAGTGCTCGTCCAATAGAATTTAGTATTGTTCTCAACAATGTACGAGTATAATGACATCATACTATCAGAAATGTTCGAATCATAAACTTTTATAAAACATTTTTAGTTTAAAGTCGTTACAAGTATCATTTCACGAAAACACAAAGTATATGATATTTGATTGTTATCATTTTTTCTTTGATTATTCGCTCTATTTTTGTTTACTTTTTACTTGGAATCGGAATCAAAATAACATAATACACTTGCAAAATTCTATATTTTATTTGGTGTTCATTCGAAGTGCCTAAATTTGATAGAAAAGGGGTTAAAGTATGACACATGGCTTGATGAACTATGACACATGGTTGAATGAACTATGGCACATGGAATGATGAACTATGGCACATGGCTGAATAAACTATGGCACAGGGTTGAAAGAACTATGGCACATGGCTGGATGAACTATGACACATGGTTGAATGAACTATGATACATGGCTTGATGAACTATGGCACATGGTTGAATGAACTATGGCACATGGAATGATGAACTATGGCACATGGCTGAATAAACTATGGCACATGGTTGAATGAACTATGGCACATGGCTTGATGAACTATGACACATTTTTTAATGAACTATGGCACATGGCTTGATGAACTACGACACATTTTTGAATGAACTCTGGCACATGGCTTGATGAACTATGGCACATGGCTGAATGAACTATGACACATGGCTTGATGAACTATGGCACATGGCTTGATGAAAACAAGAAGGTCAAAAAGATTCACCTGCGTAAAAAGATTTTACGAGGAACAAATCAAAATGTCAAAAAAAGAAATAAAATTGTTTTTAATTATATTTTAACAGTTATAGTTTACAATGATTAAAGATTAAAACATTATAATACCTACCACTTCACCTTCAGACTTGACCTTATATTGGGGCAAAATCCTAAATTGAGCATTTTTTGCATTGTATTCCTGGAGCATAATCTGTAAAATAAAAATATATGTGAAAAATACTAGTATGAGCATGATGATAAATACCATATCATTTTTTAATTGTGACGCGCTTTGGCTACAAAGGTTCTTCTTATACATGTATGTTTAACATTGGTATATGTTTTCTGCATTTGCCTTTGCATCAACATGCATGTCTGATTTGCATGGCTTTCGCAATGACTAGACAAACAGGAAACAGGTCTAATCTAAAAAAAACTATTTTTTCGGAGTGAGTCCCTGCGAAATGAATGGTCCAGTTCTTAGTCAACATGCACGTAACAGAAGATTGATGGCATTTTCAATTTTTATTTGAATTAAATGAGCATGCGGTAGATTGTAATTAAGCTGAGAGTCTTTAATGGAATAAGTTCGTTAAGTACATGGAAAGCTTATTCCCATTGGAATGGCCATGTGGTATATCTTTATAAATGATGTCAGTCTTGCATTGTGACATTTCTAGAATTTATACAGACATACTTAAAATCTAAGATTTGTCTTTTAGATCTAACAATTTATTTGTGACTTTCCAACTTGTATGATATCATATTGTATTACGCATTTTATTACTATAGATAGAAAATTGAGTTATCATCCAAGTTATTGTCCCGCAAGTTAAGCAGTCTTAAAAATGTTGTTTATTTTAACATTAACTCAAGCGAGTTTCCTTATAGATGAATTTTAGTTATTCGATCGCAACTGGAGCTCAATATCCTTCTAAAACTACAAAATATTGCTTATAACTCTTTCAAGCAATGTAACAAAAATGTGCAAATTTAACGAAATGTGCAGAACATCAAAATACGTATAGGTATTTTTTTTTTTACTTTTACTTACCACCATGTTGTTTTTATCGACTTGTGACGTTTGAGATGTACATGTGTGTATGTATTTATTTGTAAACACATGTTTCAACTAAAATAGAAATAAGATACGAATATATTTTTCTCTTTTTTCAATTTTTACGTTACCCCTTTTTCAAAGATATATATGCATTTTATACCCGTTTAGGAACTATATGTTATAAAAATAACCGAATAGCTTTGTAATCATATTCCTTGTGAATAAAAGTGTTCAAAAGGTTATTTTTCTGCCTAGTTAAATTTAACTGATTACTGACTTATTGGCAAAAACAACAGATATTAATAAATTAGAGTTTAGCTTTAAAAGACCACGTTCAATTTCACTGTGTCTAATACGCCCTTATTAAATACCTGTACAATTTCACCGTATCTAACCCGTTTACCAAGTTGCCGTTTCTGTTCCTGCGCATTGTCCATATTCTCGGCTTCAGCCGCCATCTGTAAATTATAAATATAAGATGAGCATGATAAAATGACACTATGATTTTCTCATCAAATGTAAACCGTTAAACTTGTAATACCAAACAGAAACAGAAATTTAAGCTTTATCACTGTAAACCATAACAATTAGATTACTTTGTAATTGTTCCTTAGCTAGATGTGTTTTATTTAACGGTTTAAATTGAAATGCAAAATATTTAAATGCAAAACACATTTCAGTTCTATTTGTGCGCACGTAGATTAATATATAGGTAAGACATTTTTACTACAAGTAGTTACAGGTTTAACAAAAACATGCCATTTTCAAAGAAACCAGTAACACTCATATATTTAATCCAAATTCTTAAAAGAAGTAATATTTATCTTACAACCGAATACATCTCAATATAACAACTGTCCAGGGTGGTAAATTTGATAAGATGCGATGATACATTAGAGAGTTCGATACATTGCATAGTGGGAAGTATATTAGTAAGTCATATGGGTTGATATATTTATAATTTGGAACATTTAATAGGGATAGGGACACTTCATGTCATAAATTAGATACGGGATGGTTTTATATACTTAAAAGTTCGGTAGTCTAAGTAAAGTGAGCGGTATATTGAAAAGTTCGCTACATTTTAAGTGCTGGCATAGTAAGATTCATTTGTAAGTTCGATGCATTGCAGGATGTGGTATATAAATAGCTCGAGACATTATTGGGGTTGGTATATAGACACTCTCAATACATTATAGGGATGGTATATTGACATGTTCAATATGTTTAAGGGGTGGTATATTTATTAATTCGATACATTATAGGGGCTTGGTATATTTATCAATAAAATGCATCGCGAAATGTTATTTTTACACAAAATATACATCATAAGGGGTGGGGTATATTGATAAGTAAGATACTCGCCTTGTGTTGTCTGAGAAGTGTTTCATCTTCATGGATGATCCCCTCGGAATTTGCAACCATCGACTTGTACTTTCTAAACTTCTTGTTCAGTTTGTACCTGTTCTGCAGGCCAACAATAAACTCACATGCTGTGAACAACAAAGGTAATGATTTACAAAACAAAGATAGGTTTGAAAACAAATATCTTCAACAATAAATATACCTTTCTCCGTTTAAATAACGAAACTCAATATCTAAACACAATAGGAGAGAGGTTACTGTTCTTATGAATTTCACAATTAAGGTCTGAAAAACTTGATATAAACTACTAAGACAAGAAATAAGTGTATAAATTTTTCATATGGACAAACAGTTTTACAATGACAGACTGTACATAAAGGGTTACCTTGTGCACTTGGTATTTTTGTTGGTTTATCTCGGTCCTGATTTTGATATATGAATACATGGCTATGTACAGAACTGAAATATGTACAAACATTATACATTATGTTATGAGTATATGTATAGCACTCTTTGTTCGTCCATTTGAACCATATTTATGGTTCTTATATCCAAATATGGTTCCATTTTACATTAAAAAATACGAGTACATTATTTTGTCAGCTTAAATCGACACATTTACTTTAACAAGTTTCATACTTCTTGCAAGAATTATACGATATGAAATCCCTATAGTACATATGATTTAAATCAACCCATAAAATGCTTAATCTATCAAATTGACCTTTCCCTTTGTCACTCTGGACAAAAGTATATATTCATAGTTTTAGATATGTACTGACTGTAAAGCGAATAGTGCAGACAATGTCCAGACAATTATAGTGCAGACTGATTATAGTTTGCACTGGTCGCATCGGTATATTCATTTCCTACCATTAAGGATCATTACCAAAGTTTTTTTGTTGGGTTTTAAATTAGGTCGCATCAACACTGTAAATGTCACAATGCGACTTTCTGGCTTTACTAGTCGAGGAAGTCAGCAGGTGACCGTATTTCAGACACGGACGCGACCAAAGTGTTACTGATACATATCAGCAAATTTCAAAAATACAGTTTATTCACATTATTTGACGGAATAAGGTAGTTAACTGTACGTTATCTTTTTATTTGAAGATGCTCTTTTCTACTACTACTGCTGCTCTAAAAAAATATTCCTTGATAGTTCTCTTCTTAGTACTCCTGTGTTCTCTATATTTTATTAAACACTAGTATCAGTCTACTATAATTTTGTATGTACGTTTATTGTATCAAATCAGTAAGATTGAAAAAGAGTCTGAAACAATAACTTACCTTGACTGAAGACTGTACGCAAATCCTTCCGTCTCCACGGAAAAGAAACAAACTGAGTCACCGACACACAGAAACTCTCCTAAGTTCTGTGCCATCTTGCTTTTAGCGCATCTTACATCTAACTACCTACTTTGACACACATGTAATAAAAGTCTAATATATTTGAACAAAATACATAAAAAAATCAGTTTTATATGATTTCATGACAATAACAATAGTTTTAATCAAGTACATGTAATGCAAATGCAATTCAAATCTTTGCCAATATCTGTATTCATTTCAAATCATTTCTTTAGGAAATTCTTTAACAGATATCAATGAAATTAAAGCAAAATTACAACAAATACATGCTAAGATGTCATTTTACTTAATATTTTTTTTTTCGAAAAAGAAAAAAATATATTTGGATTATTTTTATATGAAATCAGCCTTCCACAATACTTACTAAACACAATTTTAAATATCTAATTTCACTGAGCATTAAATACCATTTAAAACATACTACTTAATAAGAATTAAACAATATTAGAAAAACAATATAATATTTATTTACTGATATAATTTATATTCCGGAAGATCCTCATGGTCTTCCAATGTTTCGTATGAAAGTTCATTCCTATCAAACCTCGTATCTTATTTGGACCAGACTTACGTTAAAAAACGATTCAAATTGCTGTCTACATGGAGTTTTGTCAATCGAAAAAAAAAACTTGGTAATTAAGCAGATAGCTTCCATGTTTTGCCCATAGGCCAGTCCTATGGTTTGATTGGGTTTCGGTCTCTCTTATTTGGATGTATTGCCCTATAATTCGTATTTCATACACATGTTTATGTTTCAATGCATTCTTTAAAACATATTTATTAGAGATATATTATGCTCATCTTTGAGTAAACTGCCTTATTGTAGAAATTTATTGAAATCTAAAAAATTCATCCAGAATATATGTCTAAGTTGAATAAATGAGTAAATAAATTATGTTTTGAAAGCTGCCTTTCCCTAGACTTACCAAATTAATTTGGTCTATTCTTATAAAAACTGCCAGTTTTATTTTTTTGAATAACTCCATGTCGTTAAGTTTCAAACGTGTCATATTTTCTCTGTGTGTTCAAAAGATATTTATTTCACGAGACTGTATAGTAATTACAAGTTGTTTTATTATTTTTTAATCTATTTTTTTTTCAAACAGCAAATTTAAGCAGTATATACCTTTAGATATAGTGACTAACGAATTAAATTATTATGTCATTCTTAAGTAATAGTATTATGACTTATTTTGTTACGTAAATATCGAGTGAATATTCAAATCAAATTTTATATTTCAGTTAAATTATGTCTATGCGCATGACAGCATATTACTAACTGCTTAAACACTTTTAATCACACATAAAGAAAGCAAGTCATAGATCTAATGAGGCGTCTTTAATATTAAACTATATCAAAACTAAAATTATTTTTATGCTGAGTTAGCAATAATGTTTTTGTACTCTATTCCAACCTTCCGGGAAAGAAACTTACATAAATCTTTGACTTTCTTTTCAATCCAGTATTAAATCATGTAATGGTTTATAATTAACTGGGTTGAACTACATGTATTTGAAATTAATACTGTTTAAACCAACTTTCCACGAGATGTTTTATTCTCTTGGACTTATCAACAATAAAAATAAAAAGTTAAACCATTATGAAAACTGAAATCCCTATCAAACAATAGAGAGACATAAAACCTATATAAAGATATTTGGCCTAATCTGCAAGGCAATAACAAGAAGGATGAGTTCAACTGTTCTTATTGCATTTCGTATTCCATCTAAGGACTACTAATGCCACCAGGACGTGTTCAGGATAACGTCACCCTAGAGAGAAATATTGAAACCATCCATCTTTCCAGGCTTTTTTCATGTCTGTAGTTATTTTTCATGTTACGAATCATAAAACATATTCTTAATCATTTCTGGACTCTTTGTAATCTTAAATAATGCAATACAGCAATTATATAGACGCTAACGATCAAATATATTTTTATAATGTCGGTAAATTTCGGATCAATTCGTAATTCATTCAAGTGCTGTACTTTATATAATAGTATATCCGTCTTTTCTGTTGGATAAAATGTACTGAATGTAATGATCTTTATAATTACTTGTAGTATCTCTTTTGTTTTCTTTTTTTTTTGTGTTTATTGAAGACCTTGTTGAAAATAAGATTTTTCATATATATGTTATCTTTTGCAACGCCGATGAACGATGTTTCTTGATGATGGCTTTTTCCCTTTTGAAGTCTGTTACGGAAGCGTAAATTTTCATACGCTACCATTAAGGGACTCCATTAGGTCATACTTTCGCATTGTTTCATGGAAACTCAATGTCAGTGTCTGACCATTAAGGTTTTAAGAAATGACAGGACTGGAATTGATGTTGCAAGATTTTTATAGCATTTGGTGGAGCTAATTACAAATAAATAACTTGTGCGCAAAATTTGATATCATTTGCTTAAATCGTTTTCCAGAGTAAACACTTTTATTGTGCAAAAAAAAACCTTTTAAAAACGAAAATCGGTCTAAGAACCGCTCTATATACTGGTATCTTTATGTACTACTTTTTGTTTGTTAATATTTTATCTTTTAAATTGTGTAAGGTTTTCAGACGTTATATGATTATGCCCCCACCCCGAAACGAGGTCCTTTCTTCGCGAAAGTTAACCTATTTGGTTTAAGTGCTTTAAACAAACCTGGCTCTATTCTAACAAACAATCATTTATGTTTTCGTCCATATACTTGTAAGTGTTTCTCTTAAAAGGTTTTGTGATAATTGCTATTAAAATTGCTGGTTAAACAAAAAATAAGTTATTTTCACAAAATAGAAAAAAAGTACTGTATATCTTAGATATAAATATATTTTCACGTTGTGATGATAAGCTAGTCTTCATTATCCTAAATCAACGCAAATCCCACCAACTAATCACATCATTTCTTACGATTTCGTTCAAAAAACGGTACACCGGCGCTCTTTTTCATTCGGCTAACTCGGGGATTTTCCCACACACGCAATGACAGCCCGGATCATCGGAAGAAAATTGAAACAAATGTCAAGAATTGGAACGATGGCTACAAACTCTGACAGTGACTTAGAAGGAGAAGTTATACGTTCTTTTATTTCCCTAGAGTCATTGGATCCAAATATTTTTAGGTAACTTTATTTTTATGTCTTCTTTTAATCAACTTTTGAGAGAGAAATATGTCAAAAGTGTAATAGTCCTCGGACACGAGTAGTCTTTCGTTCAAAAGATAGGACGCAGGTGTATTTAGTCCATTATCTTATTCAGTACGTGTTGAATGTGACAGGAAATTATTTCACATTTATGATTAACCATTTTTTTTAGAAATATAACATAAACTACACATGCCACCATCCCTAGACAAAATATGTAGGTGTCTAGGAGATTGCCATTTACAATGAAAATGATGAGTCAATAAAATCGGAAAAAAAAAGAACAAAAATCTTACATATCTAAATTTAATCAAGATATTCTAATTTCAATGTATATTTGTGTCATGTTTCATGAATACGCTAAAAAAACAATAAAGCTATTTCTGGCTTCCATTTTATACTTTATATGTCACTTTTATTTTGACGTTGTCAAGCAGTACTATAAAACCTGTTCGCTGAAGTATCTTTAGTTAGAATAAGGCAATTGTAGAAGAAATATCTTCTTTGCTATTCAAGAAATATAAGGATTTTTGTTGTACCTACTATATATCGGTTGATTTTTTTTTGGCAAAAACATCCCTTGATGTCCCCCCAGCCAATGTTATATCCTTGTAACTAACTCTTTCATATACTATAACTATTTTATAATCTGGTAATGAAATATTAAACTATAAATGCTAAATGGAAAAAATGGGGGGGGGGGCAAATTATACCAATTACAATTAATGTAGTTATTTTTTATCGTAACTTATGGTTGATTTAGTCAAAGGTAATGATTTTAAGCATGAGTAGCCTTTTATACATTAAAGAATTTATATGTTTATAATTGGCATATTTTTGTCAATTTTATCTCATTATCTCTCTTACCTTCTCAAATTGAGATTTACATAAGATCTATATAAATGATATAATATATTCTGAAAATGAAAATTATATAATTAAAATGGTAGTAATGACTATGAAATGTGCATTAAGTACCGTAAGTATTGAAAAGTGTAACTTGATAAATAACCTGTGGGGCTATAGAATACTTGAACTGACATGGATATTAACAAAAAGATTAGAAAATCTTTCAATTCCATTTTTTGAGACAACAAAAGTCTTTTTTTATGCATTGTAACATATGCAATATGATTATTTTTATGTGTTTATGATAAAATACTAAAATATCTTAGTTTTCTTTTTGTACTACTTACAATAAAATTTATTGTACCAACATCAAGGAATACCTAATAGTTATAGTATATGAACTTTAGGCCAAGTCATTTTTTTTTTGCAGAAACATCCCGAGATGTCGCCCAAGCCAGTGTTATACCCGTAACTAATGAGTTTCATATACTATAACTGTTTTATCGCAATGGCGTAATGTTTTCTTTTTTTGTAATGGAAATAAATAAATAAATTGTTAGCAACATTACAGCTATTCAAGGTAAGGCAGTTTTTTCAAGTTGTTTTCCCTGCCGCAAAAATAAAGATATACAAGAGACATCCAATGTTTGAGGCGAATTGTAAACTGTCACCAATATTGATTCAAAATTAATTAAAGGGCTTTTTTCAGTGGAAATAATTCATTCAACGGATGTGGCTTTTTGATTAAATGAGAGTAAATTTCATTTCATAAATTATCTTTGTTTATATTTTTCATTGTATTTGTTTATTTATTTATTTAATTTTATTCTATTCAATCCATTTTTTTTTGCTACTGGGAATGTTCGTTACCACTGCCTTATTGGAGCCTCTGTGAAAAAAAATGCATTGATATATAACAGGTGCGAAAGAAACTCAACCGTTATATATCAGTCGAGTTTTTTTCCCTATTTGAAGCATAATGGAAAAACTGTACTGTAACTACTGTTATATATCAATACAGTTTTCAAATGCTCACTGAAAGTGTACTGAGTATAATGGGTTAGTAAGAACAAAAGAAAAGTTCCAAACCATGCGCTAAGGTATTTACATTGCCTATTTATCATCTGCATTATGTTATTTACGCTGGGGACTCTCTTATCAGGAAGGTACATGTATGTACTTATTATATAAAAACATATTATACGAAGCATGAATGACTTCTGACATTTTAATCTTTCTGCTCTGACCAAAGGTAAACGTCGCGTTTATTATTATAATCTTTTAGAGTCATAAAATTTATTTTTGTCAATACTTATGATGTTTGATGATGTTTTAAGGGTTTTGGGTTGTAGAGGGGGAACGGCCCCGGATATAGTGTAAGTCATGGCCACACGACGTTCACCTGTGGCTCTGACATGTATGATATTTTACTAAAAAAAAACCAACAAAGAACAAAACAGATCTGCGTAATAGTGAAAAGCAAGTTGCAAAAGTTTTATAATAATGTATTTGAATATTTTCTTTAAAATGTATTATCTTCTGAATGTGTTAAAACTGACAAGGCAAATTTGTAAAATCTATAATAGAAAAATAGACATTTCCCAGTTCAGAAATTAAAAGATGCTGTATATTTTAATGCTGCGTATTGCAAGAAATGTGGATAAATACTGATATGAAGTATTTCTAGAATATTTAACACTGTCAGGCATTGATTTTTAAACCAGTTGAATATCATTGATGATTATATCGATATTGCGATTTTCAATGATAGCCCTACAAAATTGGGTGTTTTTTTTTAATTTTATGTCTTTTTTAAGAAGCAACAAGTAATTAGTTGCAAGACATTAAAGTAAGAAGTGAAAATAAGAAAATGTAGTACCACGAGTTCTACTCTGGTACCCTTTTTTATGGGTAATAATCCTTTTCCCCCCAAATTTCAGAGCACCTAAAGAAAATCTATGGCACCCAAGTAGAAGTAGATTTATTTTTGGTGGTCAGGTCGTAGGTCAAGCTCTTGTTGCAGCCTGTAATACAGTATCTCCTGATCATCTTGTTCACAGTCTACATTGCTACTTTCTTAGAGGAGGTTTGCATATTTCTGTTTAATTTTTGTATTATTTGAAAGCACTATATTAAATCAGAATTTATTATTCTTCATCTAGAAATAATGCTTCTCGAGTTTTGGAGAGATGTACTGTAATAATAACTGTCTACATCCTCTCAAGGAGAATGACAGAAAAAGAAGATAGATAGATAGATAGACAGACAGACAGACACAACTTATTGGATGGATAATTTTCTTGATAATTCATTTTCACTGATCTAAATTCCCATTCTTCTTATTTTTTCACAGATGTCTGAGATAATGTTTTATAAAATTACCATGCATGAACCATACAAAAGCTGATGTGGTCAAATTGAAGTTTCTTTATACTAAACATGTACAAGTCAAAAAATTTAAAATGCATTATTTGGAGTTTTATTGTCCGCAAAAGGGGTTCAAGCCTGTCATTATTGATTTGTTAATGAACACAATAAAATTAATGGTTATACTTGAAAATTTGTATGTTATATGACTTATTAATTTTAGCTGATCAAATGGTACTTGTGGCAATTACTCCTTTAGCAATTAAAAGTGAATTTAGAGCGACTTATGCGCAGGAGAGTATAGGCAATTACATACATGTACCAACAGAAAAAGCAGTGAATAAAATAAAAAAAGTGCCTTGTGTTGACACATGAGTATAAGACAATTGATGTATAAATATGATGAGTTATCATTTGACTCCTGGTGAATTATCATTATCATTTGACTCCATGTGAGTTATCATTTTATTTCAGGTAACTCTAATTGGCCAATCCTGTACCATGTGGACAGAACACGTGATGGGGAAACCTATGCGAGTAGGTCTGTGAAAGCTACACAAGATGGCAAGGCTATATTTACCATGCAGAGCTCATTTAAGACAGATGAGAAACAAGTTTATAGATACACCATGGATATGCCTAAAGTGAAAGGGCCAGAGGAATATTTGGATGCAAATGAGATTCTCAAAATGAGATTAGAGTAAGTTATCATATACTAAATTCAGTGTAATTACTATTATTATACATTGTATATGTTGTTGTTTTGTTGTTGTTTTTTGTTTCATTATTAGTGCAGACAAATAGTAAAAGATCTCTTCTTTGTTTGATTTTGGAAAGATTTGTTTATTCAATCAATAGGTATATTTATACATGGTTTGACATATTTGACCGTTTAGAGAAAAACTTAAATAATTAAAAAACAAGCTTTGTGACCTTGTTCACAACATTTGAAAGAAATTAAAAAGTGAACTTGATAGTTTTATTGATTTATAGGTCTGAAAATTGAAGATATGCCAACACTCTAACATTGCGAGCATTTGTCAGTTCACATTGTCAATGTCAGCATTTTAAATTTTTACAGAAGTTGTATAAATTTTGTCAGCTTTCAAAAAGTTTATGCTATTTGAAACATTTGGTGGTCCTCAGACTTATAAATAAATTGACTATAAGTATTAAACAGTCTTTCATACACCCCTACTAAATGGTGGCTGTTTTGCCTTTGGTGATCGAGTGCTCTAATTTGAAAAGATCATTATAAATTTAAAAAAGTCACTGTTTAGTAGGGATGTCATAGTTATCATTAAAAACGTTTAAATTTTTTCTGTATTAGCTTGTTACATCATTTAATTATTAAGCAAAAGAGCTTAAATATTGGTATTTATAAAATTTTGCAGTGAAGATGGGGTTTCAGATCAAGAAAAAGAACATATAAGTAGAACGCTAGCCGAAGAGATACCATTGTTGATAAGGCCAACAGAACCAGAAAGCTATTACCGTATAAAAACTGGAAAACCAGAGCGACTTCTATGGATGAGAGCCAACGGAAATATTGGTAAATATTTAGTTTGCTGTTTATCGATATAATTCTTTTATTGTAGAGTAGAGGGGTCGGCAATAAAGAAAGAATGGGAACATTATTTAGCGGAAGAGTTGAAGATACTTATACGTCCTACAGATCCGAGACTGTTTTTCAAACAAAAAGATGGAGAACCAAGGAGGCTCTTTTGGATGAAAACCGATGGTGTTATTGGTATATACATGAACGTCAAAATGTCATATTTACTGAATTGTAACATTTATAGATTACAGAGATTTTTTCACTTTATAACACTTGAATATTTATTAAAGCCACATTTTTGCCTCAGACAACCAATAAAGTTTTACTTCTTTAAATTAGGAAAAGCAAATATGAATTTTATAATGCTAAATTAATTATTATAGGGCATGTTTGATATCTGTATAAAGTAGTACTAAAGGTGAAATAATTTATCATAAATGAAGCAAAATGTGAACAAAGTAGTATTTTGACTTCCATTCAAATTACTAATTCACTTAAATTATACCAGTTGCCAAAAAGAACTAAAGATGCAAAGAATAGGTCATGTATAAAGTAAAGATACCAAAAATAAATAGTTTTTGAGAAATAAAGAATATAGCATTCCTAAGACATAATTGGCTTTTAGATAAAATGTCAATTATTAACATTAAGGAGATGACACATAATGGGCCTTTAAATAAAATGACAATTATAACCTTAAGAAGATGACACATAATTTGCCTTTAAATAAAATGATAATTATTAACCTTCAGGTGACGACAACAAACTTCACCAATGTGTCGCAGCGTACATGTCAGATTTTTCCCTGCTGGGGACGGCACTACAGCCCGGTGGACCAAACTTTGAAACTCGATTTATGACCTCATTAGATCATACATTATGGTTCCATAATCCATTCAGAGTTGATGAGTGGATGCTGTATGAATCTTTTAGTCCTCATGCTGGTAAGTCGTAGCCTGGGTTCCTGTCTGTCAATTATTTTATGTGCTTCTGTTTGGCTATTATCAAAAATAAATGTTCCAGTCTGTCAATTATTTTATGTGCTTCTGTTTGGCTATTATCAAAAATAAAAAAAGAGTATGAAATAGAGGGTACGGTATGGATAAGCAAAAATATCAACGCCTGAATCCCAGGCTATGTAAGTCTTTGAATTGACAGAAGATGAGTACCTGTTAGATTTGTGAAACTTGTGTATGGACCTTATTATTTGGAAATTTGAGTCTAAATGGCACTAAAGTGACTTATTAAAGGTTCCATTAAAACCACCATATGAACACATCTACAGATGTATCTTAGTTCAAAATTTTACCATTTTCATTTTTAAATGTTGAATTCTGTTAAAAAGTGATGAATATGAGTATTAATTTCTACTTGTATTATTTTATTGTACATTAAACAAACTTACAGTTTTGATGATGTACTTTGTAAAAACTACTTTTTTTTATCATGTGAATGTCATGTGTTTTGACTAATTTATTTTCATGTTTGTTTCATAAGGAAATGGAAAAGCTTTGGTGTTGGGAAGAGTGTGGAAACAGGATGGAACACTTGCAATGTCAGTGGCCCAGGAGGGGGTGGTCAGAAACACCCCTGTGTCTAAAATGTAGCATTTTATAAGTGTTCTACCTATTAACAATAATGGTGTAAACCTGTGATGATGAATACAAATTCTGAGAATAAACTATGGAATTGTTCATTTATAAAAGGGTGGATAGGATACTGATAATTTTGAAATGAAATAGAAAAAACAGATTGAAAGTTCAGTACAGAATGGGTGTATCACATGCGAAATAATGAAAGAAATGCACAAGTATTGTACTAAATAAATAATAAGATGGAGGCTTAAAATTAGATTTTGAAAAGTGGAAATGCAAATTTTTTGCATATTTAACTTAAGTACTTTTGAAGGCAAATAAAATTTCCAAATTTTTAATTGATAATTATGATTTATTAACAAAAAAATCTAAGGCTAACATTTAAGCACTTTATTAACTGTGATAATTTTTATTTAGCATTACTTTTATGTCACATATCTTATCCGGTTATATCTGGGAAGATGGATCTGTTGTTGATCTTCTCTCGGGTTGGATGTATAACAGGAAATGAAATATTGTATAATATTATGACGTTTTGGACTTTGCAGTCTATTTTATGCTTATTTATTATGTATGTTTGTTTTTATCTGCATTTTATTTATAGACTGCATTACAGTCCCCCTCATAGAATGAAAATATTAAAGGGACTCCACTGAGCTTTTTAAACATGACATGACTGGAAACAATTTTTCGAGAGAAATGTTCCATTTCATGTTGGTCTTGACCAATAATTTGTGTGCAAAGTTTCAGATCAGTCATTCGCTTCGTTTTTACAGAAAGATAATACTAGTTTTGAAAAATTACCAGAAATTTGGTGTGGTTTTTTTGGGACAAATCGGCAAAAAAGAGCAGAAAAATGTGATTTTCAGTCTTAAGTATATTTCTTATTTATCTTTTGCACATTTTTTTTGTTTTTGTAATGTTTCAACAGTTTCAATCACACTATTAATTGATTTGGTCATGGTAGGTAACTTTGGCTTATTTCATACTATGTGACAGCCTATAAAAATGCCACTCTGTAATTAGATAAATAATCGATGAATGTTTCAAATTAAGAAAAAACAATGCTTTTCACTCAAACAGGGCTAAAATCATGCAAAAATATTACTTTCAGCTTCACTTTGAGTATTTTCCTTTATAACTGTTTTGCAATTTTTTCTATTTTAAATGCATTGCTTGATCTATGCAAGAATTTCAGATTTCCTATTTTAGGGCTTTTGACTACACGAAAGCAGTCCTTAAAATATTGTTGGCTTGGATACAAAGTATCTCCTGTGGCGAGAGTATCTAAACACCACAGAATATTATCTCCATTATTGGAAATATGATAAAAGGATTAAAAACAAAACAAAAACGCAATTCTGAATTTTTCAAGAATTTTTTTATTTATTCAGCAATCTCAGTTGAAAAATAGCAATTGAAATGACGTAAACACTCTTAAGAGATGTTAAAGTTGGTACGTTATATTTGACACCAAATACATGTAAATATTATACAATAAAACATCTTCTATGAATGTAGTGTCATTCTGTATTCCTGAAGACAAAATTCCTGAATATTTACAACTTGAGAAACAATCCTGATATGGTAGGACATGTTTTTCAAAAGGACAAGTTACGTCATTATTATATTGTTATCCATTTTCTACTTAGTCAAACCTGTGATGTGTCATCTTTTAAATATTCTGTAAACTTTGTTATTGTTTTAGACTTTAATTGTTTTTATCATGCCCATACACTGTACAATATTTTTTAATGATACTTTTGTTATAAGATTGAGGGAGGGCTGGTAAATAAGAGGTATCGATGTGTTTACTGTGATATAGACAAACTTAGAACTCAAAAGATTTAAGTTCATTCATGTCATTCGTTCACTGGTAAAATTGAATGGCCATAATGGCCCATCAGAATGTTGCTGGGGTTCTAACCAGTAAGGGACTTATGGATGGCTTGCAATACTATGATAATTGCTTGTCGTTTATGTATTTTATTGTAAGCAAATTTCATTTTCCGCCTCTATCCTTTTGATTTGACAATTATATAAAACAGTTAATCTAAAATAACATAGTCAACCTTTAGAAATGTTGAAGGCTGCTTTAATTAACATGTCAATCCTTTACAAAATACAATGTAAACAATACATTTTTGTCATTTAGACTTTAATCTTCACCTTACTGTAGTAATGGGTTAACTCCTGTTACATTTGATATGAGGTTAAAATGTATGATATCTTGTTGAGCCTATTTGAACCAAGTTTTTAACCCATTGATGTGAGTTTCAGTCCTTATTATGTCTGTTAGATTTTATGATAAAAATAAAAATATGTGTACAGATTTGATAATTGTTAAAGTACGTTTATGCATAATGTACTATTCTGTTACATATTTATGGTGTCAGTGTTTTGTTTGAAGTACAGAATACTTATTTTATTACATAGTCATTGTGACATTGAACTTACATGTACACTTATGCATGTATTTTACTTTGATATAAATTTGAAAATACTTGTGTATTTTTATAAACTGTTAATTTATATTGCAACATAGAAACATTGGGAATGAAACAGAAACCTTGTTTTCCTTTTTTATCACTTTTTTTAAATACCTTTATCTGATAAAATATGCTTTAAGTATATGTTGTACATGTACAATAGTTTTACCCATACACTGCTGAAACCAAAGGGTTTAAGCCTTTGCCTAAATTATAGATCCAGGCCTGTGGCTGAATGTTTGTGTAGTCCAAATCTCTATACTGTTTACTGGCTAATCCTTATTTCCCCCAAGATGATAATGGACTGTCCCAATAATGGAATCTGGACTAGTCCATTTAAGAAGTTAATCAGGTTTAAGGTAAACTCTTTGAATACTGGAAATGATAACAATAGATTTATAATCTAAAATTAACACCTCTATCAGGGTAATAGTGCATATTAGTGACCCAAGAAACTGAAATAAAACCCTGAGAGACATATATGTTATTATTTTGATTATACCAAACCATCATTTTAATATGTTATGTTAGCAAAGTGGCCAGGGGAGAGAACAAGAAGGTTATGTTTACTTAAGTCTTTATAGACTAATGCCCCTTTGGAATATTGCAAAAAAAAAAAAAAAAAAAAAATAAAAAAAAAACATTGACAGGGTGATATTAATTTGCAGAATGATAGATCAAAATAACACCATGTGATGTCATATTAGGCTATATTGTAAAAATTTCTGTAAAATAATACCTATTTATAGATAGGTTGTTGACTGTTTATAAGTATTTTTTTTACTGATAAATACCTCCAACATTACCCATGTTAGATGAAGCCAGAAGTATTTAGTCTACAGACTGGTGTTTTCATTTGGGGATGCCAGATGAGTTGCATGTTAAACAATGTCTTCATTTACGCACAATTTAGGAATGAACTGGTTTAAATGATGCAATTTCAGCATAATTAAATTTAAGAATGAAATTGTATAATTAGGATTATGTCATTTTGCCGTTATGAAATCATACGCTATTTTAAGAAAATAGACACGCCTGAGATAATATTAATTTTTATGATTTTTTGTTTTTTTATAATATTGAGGAAGAATTTTAAATATGATAGAATATGCAAGAAAAAATATCTGACACGTTTGCGGTTCGAAATATTTAATCTGTATTACTATTTCATCAATATCCTTGACTTTATGTTTTCTTGTTCAACTCATTCAGTCAATGGTACCATATCACGGACCTATATTTACATCTGTATTATAAGGCTCTGGCAATATAAATTATAAACATGTATAAATGATGAAGTCTTTCCGCTACAAACTTTATAACGGATCGTCCTCTTTTCGCTACTCCTTTGGGTTAAATAAATAAAAAGAAGAGTATTCAGACCGTAACACTTTTTCGTAGGGTAGCCTAATGGTAAAAAAATGTACAGAAAAAAAATTTCATCTTCGTAATCACTTTTGAATATATACAAATTTTAAATCTGTACAATAATGCATGATGCAATTATCACTGGAAACATCTGTTTATTCATAAAGGATACGCAGAAATTGATTCAATAGGAAAAAGTTTACCCTAAAATACGATAATGCGATAATCCAATAAGTACATGTACATTATTTTTGACAGCTGCTGTGGAATTGAAGTATCTGGCTTGTTTTCTTAAAATCTGGACATGTCAAACCCACAAATCGACGAATTTCTCTTATTTTATTTCCCAACATCATTTTCATCCCAAAAGGTAACTATAAAACATGTATTTACCCGGAAAAATCACTCTGAAAATATGACCTTGCTAAGAAGAAGTGAAGATATTTCGGATTGGAAATATTTCGGACAGTTAACACTTAGTTATGGCTGTAAACATATTTATTACTTCGAACATCTAGAATACTTGTATTAATTTAATTTTAGATTAATTTTCAGCACAATCATTGAAACATGTAGACTAACTAGTAGTGGTCGATTTAAAGGAAAATTTCTCACTCTTGTCTGCTCAGTCTCATTGAATCTTGATCTTATCTGCTAATTGCAACAGTTTTGAGCACTGAGATATGTAAATTTAATCAATATAGTTTAAAAATGGCATTATGTCTCATTCTATGTTTATATGTACGTCATGTGTGATAATAAAATTTAATACTGATTTTATGATAAAGCAAGGGAATACTTGATAAAAATAATAATAATCAAAAAGGATTTGATTTTGAGTCTTTTCTGCCCAAGATGTTTCGACCCCAAATGACAATTTTCACTACTAGACACATATTTCAACAAATGCAAGGTGTAAGGGGCAGATAGCTCAGTTGGTAGAGCGGCGGTACAGTATTCACAGGGTCCTGGGTGGGAGTTATGATCAGGCTGCGTATATTTCTCACCCTGTGGCATTTGGCACCCAACAGGGGACCATGATGGAATAAAGCTTTGATTTCTCATTGATCTCTGTACCCATGAGAAATTCGAGGGCCAATATCAATATAATCAATGATTGAGTTTGTCACTGTTTAGAATTGTTCACTATTTAGGGGAGATAGTAGGGGTGTAACAATACAGCAAAAACCGTATTGCAATATATTGCCGTTTTGCTGAAGCGTATTGCAATATATTGCAATACATATTGTCGTGTATATGTTTTGATGTAAAGATTGAGTGACATTCATATACTATTATTATATGTATATATTTTTAGTAAAAACTTAATAAAAATGTAAGGAATAAATAGAAAGTAATTTGATAAACAAAACTAGTCGCGAGTGACCTTTCACATCTGGGCCGCTTATGTAAATTATGCGGCGGCTTATTATTTTTAAGTGTACTAGTTGTCGGATACTTTTATCTTACGTTGGCGCCATCAAAATTCGCCAATTAAAGATTTTATGTGAAATTTTACATTAGAAGGCAATTAATTGAAAATTATGATTTTTATAAAATACCGGTTTTCCAAAATCGTACCGTGGTACAAAATTTATTTTTTCATATTGCAATATATCGGTATACCGGTAAACCGTTACACCCTTAGGAGATAGTAGCTTATATATAAGCAGCCGGATCGCTCAGTCCGCAGAGTCATGGTACAGTATTTTGAGGGTCCCGGGTTCGAGTCTCTGTCAGGCTGCAAATTTTTCTCAACCTATGACAAAGGCAAATACATTTACTCCTCTCAAGTATATTTCATTTCAACTTAAGAACATCATTTTAATCATTCAGGTTAAAGGACTTATTTATTATAATATTAACAGGAAGAAAACATTAGTTATTATGGAACTAATATTATACAAGCTCTGATGTGTCGGGTATAAAATGGCAGAATCATCTGTCCTTGGGCTGATTTTTGCATGGGGCTAGTTTTAGTTTTGGGCTAAAACATCCGGTTTCCTGAAAGCATAAAAAATCTGTCACATACACTTTATAAGGCTTATTCAATAGCATTTTCAAATAAGGATCATATCTTTGTCTTTGTAATTCTATCAAGCTGTGTTTAATAGAACCCCTTATGATGAGTGACGTAGACATCTTTCCTTTTTATGAGCTTAAAATGTTGTTTTGTTTTCATAGGTACTGTTTGCATTATTTGAAAAAGAAGTAACATTCAAGCCGCTGTATGTGAGTTTGTTTTCTGGTCAACATAATGAGCCGTGGTATATGAGGTTGAACCCTGATGGAAGTCATATACCTGTATTGAAACATGGTAACAAGGTGATAGTGGAACCATCCGCAATAGTTGACTACATTAGTAAATGTACAGAAAATGCTGGTAAGATATTGAATGTGCTTGAATACATAATGTAAAACATGATATTTATATTTCATTATGGTCACAAAAGTTGATAAAAAAATTTATCAGAGGGAAATATTTGTGCCTTGATAAAATCAGAAGTTTTTTTTTTTAAACTATTTACACTTACCTTTATTTACACTTAAAGCAATCTTGAATTTTGTAACATGATAAACTTGACAATGCAGATAACCTGATGAAGGGTATATAGTACCCGAAACTGGTAGTTTAAATAAATATAGAAACCGACTTGGTGTTTTGATGTGTTGTTCTCCCCTCCCAATTGTTTGATTTATTGTTTAAAGAAGATAATAGTTAATACTTAACCTGCTGAAAGGGGAGTGGTGGCCTAGTGGTTAATGTGTCTGCCTTTCAACCCAGGGATCATGTGTTCAGGCCCTATTTGCATCACAACCATGTTTCTTCATATGACACCAGCAATGGTTTGTTCCAGGAAGTGGACTCGAAAGTGATTAATATGATATAAGAAGTTGCAAAAACTTGTTTTGCAATCAAGCTAAAATAAATATGTTTATACTAAACTTAACCTGCTGAATTTGCCAAATTTTGGATTCAGTACAGTCCATTTAAAGTTTACGTGATTTAATATCAAAATGCAAAGCTTGAAGGAAAGCCACTTTGATATGAAGGGACTTGCTGGAATATTTTTTTTAGATTTAAAAAGCATTTGATTAAGCCTTACTCCATTAATTCTGAATAATCATTTTAATTGAAATATGCAAAATGACACAAAAATGAAAAGGAAAATTTCACATCATTATCTCACTGTGTTTTTCCAGAATAATCATTTTAATTAGGCAAAATGACCCCAAAATGTACCTCCGATTTTCCATTAAGAATTGCACAAAAAATTGATTTTCAATTGTATTAAAGTATGTTATCTTTTGGAAATGTTTGGTTTTAAGTGCTCTATTTTGATCTGTGTAAGAATTTTAAATTTTATGTTTTTAGACTTTTGGATCTCTGTCGAGCTACTTTAAGCTTCTGGCAATAAAGAGCCTGTTCAGGCTGCACACCTGATTGCACAGCTGGTCTAGCTGCATACTGGGGGCAAAAGCTTTTGATTCCAGTATGTTTCGGGTTAATGTTGTGTTACTGTTACATTCATATATGTGTCTGGTTTTAATTTCTGTGTGACATTTGTTTTATATAGGTCATCAATTGGTGCCAAGCCTTGAGTCACAGCTGGGGAGAAATGTGCAAGAATTTCGAGAGATGATAGACAGTGTTCCTGCAGACATATTGACATATGGAGTGATATATCATCCCCAACTGTCAAACTCGGGTTGTAAAATACCCAGTGCAACACAGCTTAGTATGCAGGGTAAGGCCAGACAACAAAAATACAAAATTTTCTTTACAAGATAAAGACAAAATAAGTTTTAATAATACTTATAAAGTGCTTCTTAGTTTATTCGCTACAGTTTTTAGATAGATACATAGGGGTGTCCTTGGTTGAGTGGTTAAGGTCAATGACTTTTAATCACTTGCCCCTCACAGCTGTGGATTTGAATCCTGACAAAGACTTTGGATTCTTTCGTATGAAAAAGCTATCCAGCTAGCATATGGAATGTTGGTGATTCTGCGTTTGTGCCTGAAATAATGCATGGAAGGGCACCTGAGGTCTTCCTCCTTCATTAAAGCTGGAACATTGCCATATGACCTATACTGTGTTGGTGTGACGTAAAACCCAATAAAAAAATAGATACAAAGGAGGGATGAAAACTGTATTTTAAGGATTTGTTATTTTGCATGGTTTCAGAATACATTGTGTGGATATTTTTAGTATTTTTAGAGTTATTGCCCTTGACTTAGTATAAATTTACAATATTTAACTTGTGTTGCACGTAACTCAAAAAGTTTATGACCTGTAGGCCTGAAAGTTTTCAAGAATGTTGGTCAGCATGTGTACTTATGCATCTTGGGGTTTTCTTGTTCATTATTCAATATTTGTAGTATTTGCCCTTTACTTAATACAAGATTTTAAGTTTTCAACTTGGGCAGATGTAGCCAAAAAAAAAATTTGACCTAGAGACATAAAATTGACCAATTGGTGGAGTGTGGGGGCACCTGTGTCCTATGCACACATTTATAGTTCGATTTGAATTGACAACTGTACTTCTACTTTCTATTTTCCGTAGAAAATTTTGCGAAGAGAATGAGTATTTTTAGGAATAGCAAAAAAACCCCCGATACGAGACAGCTACTGACGAAAAACCCAAAACTAGGGCCCAAAAAATTTAATCATTAAAAGGGGCCCCAAAGTTGCCCCCAGTTGAAGTTTAGACTTTTTTTAAAAACTATTGAAATAAAACAAAAAAAATCAAAGAGGGAAGTATTTTTCCCTTTTTGTTCAAAAAAGTTTTTAAAAAGCTATATTTTCCTGTCTCACCTTAATCTGAAGGGGTTTTTTGAATAAAAAATAAAGAATCAAATACCGATACAGTAAACTTCATGTAAGGCAACAAGGTTAAAAGGAATCAACTAAAAAGGAAAAATTTTTTTTTCCCAAATTTTTGTCCTTTTTTAAATAAAAATAAGGGTTTATAGAAAACAGGGTTAAAAGGAAATTATCGTTTAGGAAAACCATTTTCAGTTCTTATTAATTTTAAAGTACAAAAAATTATACTTTTATAATGAACTCCAAAATATCAGCTATCCCTAAATAGATTCCGCATTTTCAACTTTTGTTTTCTTCTTCATGGATTAAAACTCAGCCGAACATACCGTTTATTGTTTGTACTTAAATGCAGCTGTGTAAGTAATAGTTTTCTACTTAGGATATTTTTAGCACAAATTCTTTTCACCAAGATAAAATGGTTATTTCTTTTACTCTATTATATCTTTTCTTTAAAAGTTTTACTTGAGTAAAATAATTATGATCATTTATAATTTCAACATAATCACGCAATGCTATTCCTTGCTAATTCATTGAAAACTACAAAGTACACTTGATTGAAATGAAAAGAAATCTAAATCATAAGATAAAGTCATCCTTAAAATATGATAGTAGATATTCAATATAAAAGGATGGAAAAAGAATTGAAAATCTTATTCTTAATTATGGAAAGAAAACGAAAAGCACTGAGTTAAGCAGCAAATATGATATTTTATGAGAAATTGAGGAAGTAAAACTAAAACTGAAACAGCAAAGGATTTTAAAATTCCAAAAAGTATGCTTTCAGATATTGTGTCTAAAAAAGAAATAGAATTAATGACTAATTTTTACCTCAACTATTCGATAAGAATAAGAAGAGCTATTGTTGTCACCCAAACGTCGGCGTTGGCATAACCACTTGTGTTAAAGTTTTTGTATTACCTTAAATATTTTCAAAGTCCATTGACATATGACTTTGAAACCTTGCACACTTGTTCACCATTATGACCTGTAGACAGGGGGAGGTAACTGTAACAAGCATTTTGACAGAATTATGCCACATTTTTGACTTAGAATATACGTTAAAGTTTTTGTAATACCTCAAATATTTTCAAAGTCCATTGACATATGGCTTTGAAACTTTTCACACTTGTTCATCATCATGACCCCAACCTGTAGACAGGGGGATGTAACTGTGTCAAGCATTTTGACAGAATTATGCCCCTTTTTCAACTTAATTTTACGTTAAAGTTTTTGTAATACCTCAAATATTTTCAAAGTCCATTTCATGCAAGTTGATATCTCCAAAACTACTGAAGAGAATGGCTTTTAAACTTTGCACACTTGTTTACCATTATAACCCCAAGCTGTAGACAGGGGGAGGTAATTGTATCAAGCATTTTGACAGAATTTTGCCCCTTTTTCAACTTAGAATTTACATTTTGGTTTGTATACCACCTCAGATATTTTCATATTTTATGAATTTTATGATATTTATAATTTTTTCTTTGAGAGCATAATAGGACTCTCTCCAAGGCCTATAACTGTAACATGGATTTAAAGAAAAAAATTGTCCTTTTGTTATTAACTCAAAAATTTTACATTATCAAAGCTCTTTTTCTATCAAGCACTAAGAATAGTCGAGAGCTGCGACTGCTCTTGTTCTTAAACAAATGCTCTTAAAAATGGCAGACGATGGTAAACAATCAGTTTGTTATATGTAAATCTGTTGGCTATAAAATTTCCTGATACAAGGAACAAGTTCGCTATATGCTTACATAAGGAATAAATTTTGAATGTCCCAATGAGTAAGTTATAAGTGGAGTTTACTGTGTATTCATTACAAGAAAGATGTAAGAAATATTCCTTGAAACTTTTTGTTGTATGGAATAGAATATTTTGTTAGGGAATGTTCTGTTAAGTTTACTTAATAGTTATGATACTTGTATGTATTCAAATGCACTTAATAATAGAAGACTATTTTGTTAGTGGTAACATTGGGTTATCAAAGTTGGTGACACCTCCAAAAAAAACAAAAAAACGTCAAATTGGTCATGACACAGTCTGTGGAAGATATACAAATTAATGGAATCATTAGTGATGTGTTGTATTGAAACTTATAAACAACTGTAAGGTTTTTTGTCAGGATTTGTATTAATACTGTGTGAATATATTACATTTACAGAGGGTGCTGATTATTTGGATGAGTTATGGTTGTTTGGACCGATGTTTACTGCTGCAGATATTAGTCTTTCAGTATTACTAAATCGTCTTTATTTACTTGGACTTGATGGACGATATTTTTCAACGTCAAAATGCCCTTGTATTCATCAGTATTATTGGCAGGTGAAAAAGAGACCAGCGTTTCAACGAATAGAAAAAGAGATTGCGAATCTGAAAATGACAATGTTGTGGGACAGCGTGAAGACTGCCTCGCCATATATTGCAGGGGCAGTAACTCTTGGTGCTGCTGTAGGGACCGGTTATTATATATATAAGAAATTAGATAGCTGAGACTTGTTTACAGTATATATATATCACAAATGTAATAGTTCTATATAAATTTGTTACGCAATATGTAGGGTAATTTTGACTATTCACAAACCATACCCTTTATAGTGTTAAGTGTAGTGTTTGAAACGTTTAACGTTTAGGATAAAAATGGATAAAAATCTTCAAGTTGACAAAGTGAATCTCACTCTTTTTTCAGAAAAAAAAAAGTATTATTCTTCTGTTTTTCTTTCTTTTATTTATAAAATCAATGCATTTAATAACCTGGCCTGCCTGGTTCAATTCTTTCGCAATATTGCTATGATGTAATTATATTATTCACATATAATTGATATGTACATGTACAACATTTTAGTGATAATTTTGCTCTATTCATATTATCCATCTTGCTCATTTAGGGCAATATGTAAGGTGTATAATACATGTAATACTTGATTAGTTTAAACATAGTTATGAACGTATTTATTTAAGATGGAATGTGAGTTTTAAACTCTTAAAACTTTGATAAATCAATGTAGACTCCACTACAACTTCTACTCAAATAATGCATGGAGGGGCACTCTGCAGTATTGGAGTTGTATGAGAAATATAGCCGTGGCTCTAGTAGTACATAAATTCTTTGATTAAGAAACAGAATTGATAACTGCCACTTAGCTTACAGTTATTTGGTTTAAGATAATAAAAAATAAAATTAGGTTACAGATAAAAAAATTATAATTTAATGATATTTACATGTTCAAATTGTCTTTAGATATGTAAAGCATATTTTTGTTGATATTTACATGTTAATTTGATTTGAATGATAAAGTAGTATATGTATATGTATTTTAATGATATTAGATTTAAATAATAGATTTTTAATGATATTTTATACTTATTTGATATTATAACATCAAGATCTGTTAAGCAACACATAATCCAAATACAACTTTTTAAATATTTTTGAAGGGGCGTCCTTGTGTGTGGTTAAGGTCTTGAACTTCAAACCACTTGCCACTTACCACTGTGGGTTTAAATCCCACTTAGGACTTTGGATTCTTTCATGTGAGGAAGCTGTCGAGCACACTTACAGAAAATCTTTGGTTCTACTTTGGTGCTTGTGTGTGCCAGAAGTAATACACGGAGGGGCACCTGAGGTCTTCCTCCACCATTAAAGCTTGAATGTCGCCATGTGACCTATGCTATGTTTGTGCGACATACAGCACACCAAAAAAAAAAACAGAAATGTAAAACCCAACAAAAAAAACAACAAAATTGAAATTATGTTTGATAGGTTTTTTGAGAGTTTCTGTGTTTTTTGTTTGTTTTTGTTTTTGTTTTATATTTGTAAGGGTTGAATATTTTAATATATTCAAATGTGGTTAGTGCATTTTTATGAACTTAAAGATTTTTCTTTATACATGTGGCATGTATTTGTATTATTATGTATTTAAACTTTTTATTAGGAAAATGTCAATACTTTTTGTTTTAAAAAGATCTAATTGTATATTTTATTGGAATGAATTTACAAATGCTTTATTTTAAGGTTGTTTTAACTTTACTCTTATAACATGTGATCAGAAGATGACATTTTTGATAATATTTAAACAGAGAAAACAGAAGACATTTGTTCTAGTCATCTAGTCATTTAGTAGTCAGTTAACTATATATATGATGCATGAAGGTTTTATTTTTTGGTTTTACAATGTAGCTCGTCTATTCGAAGAATAAGGAGCTATCATACTCATGTTAGCGTCGGTGTCACACTTTTGTTGAGTCTTTTCATGCAAGTTGATATCTCCAAAACTACTGAAGAGAATGGATTGAAACTTCATACACTTGTTTAAGATCATAATAGGGGTTCAATATCCAAGGACAATAACTCTGATATGTTGTTTTTAGTCCCCTACCGGTTTACCGGAGGGGACTTTAGGTTTACCCTCCGTCCGTCTGTCTGTCCGTCTGTCAGTCCGTCCGTCAGTCCGTCCACAAATCTGGATCCCGTGATAACGCAAAAAGTACTGAAAATATTTTAATGAAACTTGATATATGGATAGATGGCAGTATGGAGATTATGCACGTCTTTTTCTTTTCTTCCTATGTTGAAAATTCTGGTTGCTATGGCAACAAATAGACTGAAAATATGGCAAATTTTACACATAACCTGGATCCAGTGATAACACAAAAAGTACTGAAAATATGTTTATGAAACTTGACATATGGGTAGATGGCAGTATGGAAATTATGCACATCCTTTTTTATCTTCCTATGTTGAAAATTCTGGTTGCTATGGCAAAAAATAGACTGAATTTCAAGATTTCTGATTCTAGTTTTTAAGCTTTTTCACTATAAGTTCTTTATTTCTTAAGGTACTTTCTTCAAACTTTTAATATAAGTTGCTTGTCATCAACCACATCATATGTGACAAGGTTTACAAGTCTAGCACAAAATTTATCAGAATTACCTCCCTTGAACTTAAAATTTTCATGAAAAAAACATTGTTTTTTTTAATAACTTCTTTTTCTGAATGTATCTACTTCAAACTTCATATAAATGTTTCTTATTGTCACTCAACATTTGTGAGTGTTCAATACTCTAGCAAGACTATTTCCAGAATTATGCCCCTTTTGAACTTAGACTTTTTTTGGAGAAATTGGTAATTTTTACTCCAACTTCTTCAATCATGATAGGATTTTTAAAATGTTATATTTTGATAACAGGGATGTTTAAAAAATAACTTTAGAGTGTCCTTCAGTCCGTCTGTCTGTACATAAAAACTGTTTCCTGTGATCACTTTTAAATAACTTTTTTAACAAATTTACTTAAGATAGGAACCTAAGTGAATGGCCAATGGCCCTTCAGAATGTTGCTTGGGCTCTTACCGGTAGGGGACTTATGGATTGCTTGCAATACTATGATAATTGCTTGTTTTCTTCAGAACTATGGCTCTTTTTGAACTTAGAGAAAAATTTTACATTATCAAGGCTCTTGTATTATCGGGCACTGGGAATAGTTGAGCAGACTTTCTTACTACCAGCTTTTCTTTGTTGTATGAGTTGGGTTTTTTAATAACTGTAGGTTCAGTCTCATTTATAGTTTAAAGGAGGTGTTTTTATTCAAAGCTCAGTTTGCTTTAATCTTTTCTATATTAATCAAGTTTTAAATGTCACTATATGTTGTTACAGTAACTAATTTCAATTATTAACAGCTGATTATATACATGTTGATTTAACTGGTACCCATATGATTTTATGCTTTAAATTGATTTAATATGATTTAAGTGGAAACTTTCCTCTCTAACTGAAAAAGTGTTAGTATTTTATTTGGCAGTTGAGTGTTCAAAAAAAGTATATTTTATTAGCTTGTCTGTTTTGAAGAAAAAGTCGAGATATTATGATTTCTATGGCATCATCATTGTGCAAAAACTTTAATGTAGCCTGTTTTTCAAAAAAAGTTATCAACATGAAACTTGAATGAAAAGGTGCATTTGTAAGACAAGGGAAGTAATTCTTAAAACAATATTTTTTTGAGTTATGTCCCTTTTGAACAAAGGAGCGTTTACACAACATGAGATGCTCTTGTTTAATGAATGACTGAAGGCTGTTCTTAAAATCAATGTACTCCCTAGCAATTATTTATTTATACACATCTTTGGTACTGCATTTTATTGTGTTCTTTTAGCCATTCACCATTTTGATCCATTTTATTTATGTGATATACACGTGTTGTGTAATATGTTACTATTTATAGTTTACGTTTAATAAAGACATTGAAATATGTATATTGCTGTTGAATTATGCTTTTATTGCCACGTGTTCATTGTCACGTGGTACAATTATTGTCACGTGGAACACGTGTATTTAAGCATTTATTTAAAAACAGACTTGTACTTTACCTACTGACAGTTTGTAAGAGAAGTATACATAGCTGAGTGATGAAGATCCAAAGCTTATAATCAACGCCCCCCTCCCCATTTTCCTGCTGTGTACTTAAATTCTGCCAAGCGTTGGAAATGAGTTTTAAAAATCACTTAGAGTCCGATAACTGAAAAATAATAACTCCTCTTATACCACTGATGCAGTGTCAATGAAACTTTACGGGATTGATTAGTAGCTCAAGATCTTGCGCATATTACACGTGATTACCATTATACGTGCTTACCGGTTTAGTAATTTTTGGCAGAGTTATGGCCCTTGAATAAAAAAATACACGTTTTGCCCTGTTAATGATATTGTGTCTACACAGTAGCTGCAACATGTAATTGCCTATCATGAGGCGACGCAATGTGATCACTGATAGCTCTTGTTTGTTTATCTCCCTATTTGTATTTTTAAATTTTCCTTTTGTGTGAAAAAACATCAGATATAATCGAGTCAAACTTGGAAGTATTTGTTTTATATTTAAGGGCAGTAATTCCTTAATCGGATTTCATAATTATGCCCACTTTTCTAGTATTAGCTTTTATCATATTATCCTGCGTTGAGAAAAGTGAGGGCACCGCTCGCTATAACAGCTCTTGTTTGATATAGCAATGCCCCATATACCGACATTTGAGCCGTGTCTAGACAAAACCAACATAGTGCGTTTGCGACCAGCATGGATCCAGACAAGCCTGCGCATCCGCGCAGTCTGATCAGGATCCATGCTGTTCACTATCAGTTTCTCAACTTGCAATAGGGTTGGTAAGCGAACATCATGGATCCTGATCAGACTGCGCGGAGGCGCAGGCTGGTCTGGATCCATGCTGGTCGCAAACGAACTATGTTGGTTTTGTCGTGACGCGGCTCAATTTTTGTTATTACCTTATTGCAACTGCGTATACCTAATCAATTATTTGATTTCATAAATCCGGATACAAGTGTGAAAAATACGAAAAGTTTGCCAGTCCGCTGGAATAAATATTGTCAATAAATAAAAGTATACGTTATATATTGATAATTTTATTAGTTTATAAGGGTATTGTAGTTTTATAAGTTATCACAATCTATGGTGAAATGAAGTTCATTCTGCTTTCTTACAATACCATAATAGAATTATAAACTCAACAAGAGTAGTATAAACAGTATATAGTTAATTTAAAATTACATTATGCTTGTCCAAGGTACATGTATTGAAAGTCAAAATGAGCCGTGTCATGACAAAACCAACATAATAGGTTGGCGACCAGCATGGATCCAGACCAGCCTGCGCATTCGCGCAGTCTGATCAGGATCCATGCTGTTCGCTTACAAACCCTATAACAAGTAGAGAAACTGATACCGAACAACATGGATCCTGATTAGACTGCGCGGATGCGCAGGCTGGTCTGGATCCATGCTGGTCGCAAACCCATCCTGTTGGTTTTGTCGTGACACGGCTCAAATAAGTTTATATTTTCCATAATTCTTTCACTTTTATAATTTGCTCCACATGAACGATAAATGCATGAACGATAAATAAATCGTGTGGGCCAAGGAAATTTCTGTAAATGTACATTGGAATATACCTTAATCATTCAATTGACAAAAAGAGTGGGACCTTTTTACAGTTCAATCAGATTTATATTGTGTCCTTTTATCATTTTTCCGCCAGTCACCAATATAAAAGTCAATCTGTTGAAATACCGGTATATCATCAATTCAGGCTAACTTGAGCATATATATATAATGTCGCTCTGATTTTGAACAAAAATGTTTTAAGGCCTTTCTGTCATTGATAAACATTTTATATTATATAAAAACAATGATAATAATTTGCTTTGGAAATATTTTTATAAGTATTACCAAGGGGTTGTAGGTCCGAGTGCAACTTGGAGCGTAGCTGTGTTTCCTGTTATAATACCAGGGTGCAAGGTTATAAAGAAATCTTCTAAGCTCAAACTCAGATCTCAGGTATTTGATTGGTCAGAAACTGCCAAAGAATGTACACTGACCAATGAAAATCTTGAGATTTGTGAAAGAACTCAGAAAAAAGTTATTTTTATAAGATTCAGGCCAGTACTGCATACCTCTAGGAAGTGGATTCGGTCCTGATTCAGATGACCTAATTTCTTAAGTTTGAATCCCGCCAGGAAACTTATGTTATTTTATGGCGATATGTCAGAAATAAATCCATCCAGACAACAAAAGATTGATGGTGCTACTCGTGCATAATCTGCCCTTTAATAACTGCACGGGAAAACGGGATGCGTCGTAAACGACTTACCCCTGTCGTTAAGCTTGAATGTCTCCATAATGATGTTTATGGTGTCAGAATGCCTAAACCCCAACCGAAATAAGGTCAAATGATTCTATATACAAAATATATTTTTTGTACCCGTTACCATCTTGGAAATGCTTTTATTATAGCATTAGTTTGTACCATGATATGGAAAAAATAATACAACATTTAAAGACTGAGAAATTTAGTCAAAGACCATAATTTAGTGTGTTTTGGATAGACGAAGACTGAAATACTAGCGAGACATATTTATTTAAGCTCAATTGCGAAACAATTTCTTGCAACATATATTGATCACTTTCGAATCCTGGAACCAACCAGTACTGGTGTCATAAGGTCGTGACCCGATTGGGGTTCGAACTCATGATCCCTGGGTTGAGAGGCAGACACTTTCATCACTCTTTGTCATCTGTGTCAAATGGTGAAAATATCGTTGCAGGAAATAATCATGCAGCGATAGCAAGGCATATTGGAATCACATCTTTGTGAAATTTTTGACATATTAAAGTTGCTTTACTGTTTGAACCATTGTGGTTTTAAATAATCCATAATTTTATAAATGACTCCTGTAAATTCTAGAAAATTGTTCTAGAAATCGCTGCAAAGCCCCCGTTCCGGGATGAGGGTTTTAACAGCTTACATAAAAATGTCTAACACTGGTTTTAATTTTAATATGACATTTAATTACAAATGTATTTTTCTTCACTGGTGTAATTTTATCAAACACCCTTACGGGAATTTAACAGTCTCCAAATGTTTATTAAATAAATAAATAATAACAAATAAATAATACATTAACCAGATGAATAAACAAAATAATGAGCCACCTCGTTGCCAGCAATAAAGTAAAAATAGAAAAAGCTTTCTGAATGAATGTAACGATATTTCCGGTAAAAATTCAAAAGAATAAAAGATGTAACCGACCCTACAAGATGATTTCGATGAAACTTCATTTTTATGCATCATCAGAATTTTCTTAGATAGTGATATCGTCAAAATCTAACCACTTTGTTCTTGAAAATAAGCTTTATCAAATTTCCGTTCAAATAAGATATTTTTGTTTGTATTTAAGACAAACTTAGAATGAAATTTTTAAACGTTTTTGCACCTTCCAAGTTCAACAGGTAGTATATGCGGAAGCACTTTAAGCATGTCCCTGATTCCCTGCTCTACAGATATTGTTGACTGGTACCCTAGCTTCCGGATTTTTGCATACGACACTTCATAGTCTCTTTTGTCTTTATCTACGCCTGAATTTGACTCGGTAATTTTGCAGCCTTCAACATTTTTCTGAATAAGCTGTGCCACTTGTGATTTTGTCATGTTCATTTTTTCATCACCGACGTTATAGGCCTGTCCTTTCATTTCGGACGCATGCTCAACAGCAAAGATAAAAGCAAGAGCTGCGTCTTTAACGTGAAGGAATGTACGCCGGAAGCTACCTTCGTATAGATCGAATTCTTTAAGTGTTAGACCTTTATATGTAAGATCATTTATAAGAAGGTCTAACCTAAGGCGTGGTGACAAACCGAACACAGTTGCAAGTCTTAGCGCGATTCCACCAACGGCAAGAACCATTTTCTCCCCTTCCGCTTTGCTGCTGCCATATAGTGTGAGTGGACTTATACTTGTCTCTTCCGTACAGAGCCCTTCGACAGCGCCATAGCATGAACCTGTGCTGGCATAAACTAATATTTGGTTAGCAGTTTTGAATTCCGTAATATTTTTTGTACCTTCGATATTTGTGTTTATGGCGCATTCTGGGTCTTTGTCACATGCCGGGTAGCCGACAATAGCCGCTAGATGAACTATGGCGTCCTTTCCCGCCATCACACTAGCCAGATATTCCCTATCACGGATGTCACCTTTAATAATATGAAGGTTTGCGTCGTCTGCTATTGGTAATAAGGGGCTTATACCCCAGAAGAAAAGGTCATATAGCGTGACCTCGTGCCCTTTTTCTAACAACATTGGAATCATTGTTGAACCGAGATATCCCGCACCTCCTGTTATCAGAATCTTCATGCTTGTTCTTTAACTGGTTCCCTGAAAGCAGTAAATGAAAACATTGGTAACAGCTTGTGCATAATCATGCCACGTGAGCAAGTGGGTGATGTCACCGGAAGTCCTGGCAGGACCATTTTCCTGCACGCACTCGAACATTGTGGTAAGCAATAATTGCGTACGAAGCTAACTGGATCACAATGATATTTACAAATAAAATACAGAATTACGTCATGTGATAATGCCTTGAAAAATTATATTACTTTGGCTGGACTAGATATTATAACAGACACTTGGGGTGTGAAGCTCAAAACGCCTTTAAAATCCAAATAAAATGTATATTTGTCAATCCCAGCACATGTACTTATCATATATATATATAAAAAAACTTAATATAAGCCGTTTTGAAAGAAAATCATATTTCAACGTCAATAATTTGTATTATTTATTATAGACGTTGAAATATCCAAGTGTCTGTGGATATTATAAGACGTTGTAAATCAATCGGAACGTCTTCGGCTATTATCTATTATTCGATGAATGGCGGAAAAGGCCGAATTGCGATTGTATGTAGATATATACTTTCGTCTCGTTATTAATTAAATAGACAACTTAACAAAAACGAACAAATGAACGAACGAACAAGCAATTTCGATAGTTCGCTTCATGAGCATATTTTGTAATAAACACAGGGCCGTTCAATCAAATTTTTATAGACCAGTGTTTACATAAAGGGACTCTATTTTACATGTTTATATTAAAACAAAGACAAAAGACAAGGTCAATATTTGCATGGAACATTAACATTTTGACGCTGACAAGCATGGTCAAACTTAAGATATGTTTCCTTCTTGAGAAAATGTTTCAAAATTGCCGGAGAAGATAAATAAAAAAAATGTCTGGGATCATGGGGATAAAAGCTTCAAATGCAGTAAAAGGATTTTATGCTAACAATAGTTTGGGTTTAGTAAGAGTAAATAGGAATAAAAAAACAAGTGAAACTATAATGTACATGTATAAAATATGTAAATGTAAAGGAATCAATCGCAAATGTAATGGAAGCAAATGTAAATGTTAAGGAAATAAGCGTCGGTAAATATCATGAGCGGTCATCTGCGTCAAGAAAACAAAGATTATATTTTGTTTAATAACACAACGGGTTGTAGAGCTTAAAATAGTATTTAGCCTTAATCCTGACTTAAATGTTGTTTTAGTTGCTATCTTTGGCTTAATCCCTTATGACCTCAAAGGATCTTATGTGTATTATTTTGAAATAGTTTGTCCACATGTTATTGGGACTATTATAGAATTTTGTCATATAGGTTTAATATTACATACGAGTACATACCGTTTGACTTTACATTAGACTCAGAGTAAAAAATAAAGATTAAAATATTCTAAAGTCAAAACTTTTTTATTATTAGATATTCAAACCGCTTGTCACTGACCGCTGTGGGTTTGAATCTGTCCCACAGGGCCTTGGGTCTTTCATCAGATAGCTTACGGAACGACGGCGGTTCTAATCAGTTGCCTGTATGTGCCTGAAATATAGCACGGAAGGTCTTCCTCCACCACTAAAATTGTGTTGGTAGGAATAAACGACGTAAAACCCAACAAAAAACTTTGTGCGGCGGTTTAATTATCGATTCGTTTCTATGTAAGTGCCTATTTCATAATAAACACGACACGGTGGGTAGGCATCAACATTTGCAGTGCTTAATTTTTTTATTGATCAAATTTTATAGCGTTATGAAATTGCACACGTGTTCTTTCATTTAGATACGTCTTCCACTAAATGACTCACGTTCCAATAAAAAAAAATATTTAAAATCAAAGTTTGATATTTATCTTCAATCAAATATTTGTTAACCCTAGAGGGTTAAACATTGTTTTATCCGAAATTTATCAAAGCAAACAAATACCCGGCATTTACATCAGAAAGCAATTTAAACTATGACATACGTCATTCCTTTCCGACTCACATAAAGTTTCAAGCGGAACTGAAGTTTGACGGAAATGGCCAAAAAGTTGCGATTGATAAAGTTATAATGTAGGAAGAAGAAAAAATAGAGTAAATGATATACTTTTCGTATGAAACATTATAAAAAAAACTTTCCCTTAGCAAAGGATTCTTAGCAAAGGATTCCATAAAAAGCCAAAATTTCCAACGCCATCGTCAGACGATAGCTGATTGCGTATCGACGTGTTCTTGAATTTACGTTTTGAAATATAACTTTTTCATCTTCCATACAAATACATGTACCAATGAAACAAACGAACGGATGCACAAGAAAACAAAACAAACGATTTTACAAAAGAATGGAACTAAACAGTCTGTAAAATAACAAACCAACAACGTGTAATTTTTTAGAAAATATAAAAATATCAATAAAGCCAGTTTTATGCCACTGATTATCGAATTTTAAACGAATAACCTTATTTATTTATTTATTCATTTTTTATTTCTCTTTATTGTACAATGCAAACAATAAAATTCATGAAATAATACAATAATACAATACCATGAAATTTGATGTAATAACAATGTTCTGAAATGATACACACAAATTCATACATTTGCAAAGTATTATATGTATTTTCTTATTATATTTTTTTTAAAAGGCAAAGTTTACTCTGCACAAACGTTCAATGATTAAAGAGTTAAGTTACAACAACAATAAGTGTCACAATTTTTTTTTACCACTAATAATGTTAGGTACTTTCATTTTCATTAATTAAGTTTATATATTCTTTCCATACATCCTGCATTGTTTCAAACCTAAGCATTTTTTGGCATTAATTATTTCTGTTTTAACCAAAAATAGTAATTGATTTTTAAAAGCCTCTTAGCATGGCAATACGGACTTCATTTTACATTTGTAACTATTATGTTTTAATAATAACAATATATTATTCTCTGGAACTGTGAATCGGGAACAGCCGAAAATGACAGATTGTTCTGAAAAATGAAAAGATGAATTTGGAATTTTGTTTGTTAACCAGCCCTGTACGTCCCTTATAAACATGTTGACTATGTCACATTCCCAAAATAAATGTTTTATGGATTCTGGATTGACATTACAAAATGCACAGTTGTCGTTGTCCGTAACATTAATCTTTTTCAGTAATACATTAGTACCTAAAATACGATGCGTTATTCTATATTGAAGCCATAAAAGTTTTGGATCCTTAGTCACTTTAAAGGATAGAGAGTAGATACTTTTCCAGTTCAGATAAATGTTAGAAAAATCATTTTGCCATTTTATTTCTGATTTTGTCTGACGATTATTATTGACCAGCACGTCGTATATTGGATGGCAATTGGCAATATCGGGTTTTTTTATTTTGATATCATTTTGATTTACATGAAAATCCGTCAAAGTTTTTCTGAAGGAACGTATTATACCTTCATATTCAAGAAAGTTTGATCTAACATCAAATAATCTTTGAAATTCTTGAAAACTATAAAACAACCCATTTTCATTTACAAAGTCGTTGACAAACAAAACACCTTTTCTTAAGTAGTGTTTAAATTCAAACGATTTTCCTGCAATTTTGAAATGAGGATTTAACCATACCGGATTGGACCAGAAATCTGCCCAATTACCTGAACGAATCTTACATTGAAATAAATAAAATGAATTCAAATATCCTTCCAACACAAATTGTTTACTCTACTTTTATGTTGTAACAAATAGTCACTACCAAATTTGGTCGACTGGTAAAGAGCTGGACACAATTCTTGTACAAGAAAAGCTTACTTAGTATTTTATAATAAAAGTCTTCTTATCCAAGTGATTTTCAAAGCACTGGTGAAATGTATTAAGTCAACCGCTCTAAGCCCACCATAACATATATCTTGAGTGAGTTTTATTCTACTTATCTTATCCGGTCCATCATTCCAAATAAATTTGAAAAATACATTTTGTAGGTCTTTAATTACATCAGAATTAGGGTTTGGTAAAGTTAAAAACAGGTAAGTTAATTTAGACAAAGCAAGCGTCTTAATCACTGTGATATTTCCTATAGGAGAAAGTTATCTTCTGGACCATACTTTTAAAAGAGTCTTAACTTCATTTATCTTGGAAGGATAGTTAAGATCACTTATAGATGTAATATTTGTTGATAAAGTTACTCCCAATAATTTAAATTGACCTTTGTCCCATTTAACACCGATTTCCGGACATAACTCTAAATCGCTATTTCTCATTGCACCTATCCATAACGCCCTAGTTTTGTCAACATTTATTTTTAAACCAGAGATATCTGCATAAAATTTTAAAACTTTCATAGTATGAAACAGGGATTTTTCAGAACCTTTATTCATTCATTCATTCATTCGTTCGTTCGTTCGTTCGTTCGTTCGTTCGTTCGTTCGTTCGTTCGTTCGTTCGTTCGTTCGTTCATTCATTCATTCAACCATTCATTCAACCATTCATTCATTCATTCATTCATTCATTCATTCATTCATTTATTCATTTATAGAAATTAAAATGTATTAAAAACTATTTTGTAAAGGTACCTTTTTAAATTTTCCAATTTCAAAAGAATCACTTTTTCACTTTAAGTTAAATATCTAAAATATATTTTAAGTATCAAATTTTAAACCATTATTCCTTTGGGAAAAATATAAAATGTTTTGACATTCATAATTATTATCAATTAATTAGATCTAACCATCATAACGTGTATGTACTTATATATTGTATAGACAATAAAAACGAATGGCCCATACATGCTTTAGGGCTTGATTTTAATTTAAAATATGATTTTAGTGGTCAATATTTTGCTCACGCGAACAAGAATAAACAATCATCTTTTAAACTAATATGAGTGATTATTTATTGTGAATTTTTGATAGAATCTTAACAAGAAGTATCTTAAAAAAATACTCGGCCAAAGTAAGCGAGGTTAACTTTTGTTATTTCTAAGCCTTCGATACTTATCTAATTGACAGAATAAATAATCGGGTTCCCTCTTTTGGAAAATGGAACACTGTAAGTGTTCCTAAATTAATCTGGCGTGTTAAGGTAGGTAA